CTAACTCTGGAGTATGATGGCTAAAGTCAGGAGAAAGTGAATCATACAGAATTAGATGGATTTTTAAATTTATTTGTTTGTTAGAAAGAAACTAAAGATAGCACTTAGAGTTCAGCCCTCCAAGGACATGTGGTTTGCACAGGGGTTGCTGTAAATCACAGTTAATGTTATTTTTATTTCCTATGGTTTTTAGTTCAAAAATACAGCTTTTCATCTGGCATATCATGAGCAAGAAGATCTCATTTAAATCTCCTTGAGCAGAGCCTCATCACATATCCAAATAAAGCACCTCTTCCAAAGCAGCTTCTGATCATGAGTTGAAGACATCAAACAAGAAAATTCTGTCTCTTTGCACAGTTATTTTCCTCTGGTGTTTAATAATTCTTGTTAAATTCTTATGCCTTGTGATCTGTCCTCTACACCACAGGCCACCTCCCACAGCTGTCAATAAGGAATATCCTTCAGGAGCCTTTCTTTTGTAACATCCATTTCATAAGCACTGTGGCCAAATCAACAAGAGAACTGAAAAACGATGCTTGTGTCATAAAAAGAGGTTTATGCTCAGCTCACAATAGCAGCACATCAACTGAGCATGCTGTCAGCTCTGGAGACCCCTACCAGGAATCAGAAAAGGTATTTGTACTTTGGTTTTCACCAGAGGCAGGACTATGTGTCCCAGTCCAGCTGCCTCTCAAAAAGCCAGGGCACAGCTCTAATCAAAAGCTCTGTCTGTTAAATAAGAAAGCAGGATAAGTCTGACACTGCTGCACACGTTTTCCTCTCCTCTCATGGGAACATTCAGCAACGTTTGATGCCATTTGGTAGAGTTTAAATGCTCTTCCCTCACACACAAGAAACAGAGGTTTTGTTCAGGCAAGGACTTTGTTCCCTCTGGCCTTGAGGTCACTCACTTTCAACTGCCTGTGTCAGTGTCTGCTACAGAGATGGAAGGAAAATAAATACTTCAGCCACAGCATGATTTACAGCTCACAATGGACTAAAAAAAAGGGTATTTCCATTACTTTTAGGATTTTGGGTTTTCTCAGTTTCCCCAGAGAAGTTCTAGTGCTTATCAGGTGGAGGAAAAGGCAGACTGCTGATCCAACACACAGAACATAGAGCTGTTCTGACATCCAAAAATCCCGGCTAGCAAGGGAAAGCAGCACGTTCCCTTGGCTGTCTCGTGTCCTCAAAGGACTCAGCTCCCATGGATCTCCACTGCTCTGGAAAGTGTCCCAGTGACTCGGTGTGGTAGCAGAAGCTCTCTCAGCATTGGGTCCCTGCCCTGAGAAACCTCTGTGATGAAGCTCATTTCCTGAAGTTTTTATACAGTGTCTTGAACTTACACAAATTGTGGGGTTTTTATAAAGAACATTAGCGAACTGCTGGAACTGAGAATAGTGGTGTCACAGCAGGGCAATCATTTCCTCCAAAGAAAAATCCATTTCAACAACTAAGTTCCACAAACATTGCTTTCACCATGAAATCAGCAAACCTGCTGCGTGTTTCTTGATTGCAGATCTTATATTTGTCTTCTGTATTCTGGGTGAGTTCTGCAAGAGTCAGGACAAGCAAGCAGAGATATTTTGTATCTTACAGTGATGGTCCTTACAGGAAAGTGAGAAAGGATTGCAGAAATAGCCAGGCTAGAGCTTGGGAAAGTCAACTCCCAGCCCAAGAACCGCTCCAAAACTCTTCTGCAATTTACAGTGTAGCATTTGTAGGGAGAATTCATCCTGTAGATCCAAGCCTCACAGAGGGAAATGGGGCCCCCTTTCTCCCCTTGAAGTTGGTCCAGATGATTCTGGTGTAAAAACACACTAAAAACATTGAAACCTCTCAGTTCGTGACAGATCAAAGAGCATGTGTTGATGCTCTTGCCTAATGGCAGGATTAGCACTTATTTCTGCAGTCAGATAAATGCAGGCAGAGACTGCCATCACGTTCTCCAAATAACTCCTCTCCATGTGCATGGCATCATATTTCACCCTGATTATGACAGGTTTGAGTTCAGTGAAAGAGTATTTGAAGGAAGAGGGTGGTGGGTCCCCACAGAGCTGCTGGAAACCTGCCGGGTTTGTCCGAAAGCTTCCAGCACCAGGGCTTTGAGTAACTGCAGAGCAGTGGTTACACCCTGTGACAAACCCTGACCCCGGGAATTTCTCATCTACAACTCAGAAACTCTGACAACAAGGAAGAAACATTGGGACAGCTGGGGTTTTTAAGGTGCAGCAAAAAGTCAGTTAGAAACACAACCAGTGTGAGCATCTCTCAGCACTAAAGCACGAGTAATAGAGATACTGTGTAGACAAAAAAATCAATCCCTTCACTCCCATCAGGGCAGCTAGAAAAGGTAGAGAACAACTTCCTGGAACTCCCAGCTAGCCAGCTGCACATAGATCTGGCCACAGCCGTGTCCAGTTTGTGTCCCCTGTGACAGGAACAGCCTGTGTCACCATCCCCAGCTTCCCTCACCTCTGGCACCGGGCACAAGCTCAGAGCAGGCAGCAGGAGGAAAACAGAGCTTTCATTTTTGAGCGAGTTACATTTCTTGGTATGTGCTCCCTAAACTCTCCAGCAGTGCCTGTTGGCTGGTACAGTTTCCCGGTTTACAAGTTCTTGTTTGGGAAGCTGCTGGAAGCATCCATCCAGCCCCTGCCACAGGCAGTGCAGTGCTGGCCTGTTGGATCCAGAGCCCAACACAGCAAATTTTGTACTTCTCCTGCCACTTAGTGGCTGCAGCTGATGCAGCACCACATCCCTGGCTACACATTCACCAGAGAATACCTCTGTGATGTGGAACAGGTTCATATTTCTGTTCCGGTGCAGTAAAACTTGAATAGGGACAAAGAGGCATTTAAAAACATTTCACTTATTTCAAACTCTCTGAAATCTGTCAGGGCCCTCCCAAATCTCACTCTGCAGGTGTCTCGGTTTGAAAGACAGGTGTTTGCTAAGAAAAGCAGGAGTCTCTTTCTGAAATGGAGAATGTAAACCTCCCTTCTTTTAAATTATTATAATTTTATTATAATTTTATATTGTTTTATAATTTTCTTATAATTATAATCTCAGGCAAAGATATGGGGATAGGAATAACAGTTCTTTACTAGTATATTTAACAAGACAAACAAAACAACAACAACTATTGAGAGGAATGATGGATTTGTCCTTACAAACAAACTGTGGGTCTGCTCGTAGATAAAACCAGCAATGAGAGAGAAAAGAAACAATGGAATGGATTCCACTGATTGATGAATGGAAAAAGATATTTGCCTTTACAAACAAAATGTAGGTTTGCTGATAAATGAAATTGAATATTGAAAGATGAAAGAAGCAATGGGGGAAAACTCTGAATTCTACAAGAATTAAAAATTAAAAGGGAGGGTTATATATCGGGGGGAATCTTGGGTATCAGGCGTTCCGGGAAGTCTGTACCTCTCAAGTACCTCAGCCCAGGGGGAAAGAGAGAGGGAAATGCGGCCGGGAAATTGGGATAAAAAGGAGGCTGCGTCCTCCAAAATTTGAGACATCCCCATTGGCTTCTCCCTTTACTCGAATAAAGCAGAAAGGACTCCTGTGTCTCCTTTCTGGACATAAACCTCTGGTGTTCGTGGCTTAATTTTCCTGGCACCAGGGAATGAAGAGCAATCAGGAGAGTGACCCGGGGTCACTCCTTCCTTTCCCTTCCCTTCCCGTGCCGCAGTGCTGGGCGGGGCGGGCTCGGCGGCAGCGGGAGGCGATGGCGGCGGCGGCGCAGGTGGGAGCGGGGCGGGGGCCGGAGCGCTCCGCTCGCCGTGCCCCTCACGGAGCTCGGCACGGTGCCCGGACGCGGTAGGCTGGAGCGGGAGGGTGGCCGAGCAGGGGGCTGCGGGGTCCTAGAGCCGAGGACGGGCAGCTCCCGGCGTTGGGGTGGCAGGGGGAGGCTCTGCAGCCGCCGCTCTGCTCCGAGCCAAACCAGAGACAGAAAAAGCAGCGGCCCCCGCCTCTCCTTTAGCTCCCCTGATCTCCCGGTGCTCTCCCTCTTCCCTCCCCTTCCCCGCCTTGCGAGAGAAACTCCAAAAAAGGGATAGGGAGTCTCTCCCCTCCCCCTGTCGCTAGCCATCTTAGCATGTCAATAGGAAAAAATTTCAGACAGAGAGGGGAAAAATAGGGAAAAAATAACCCCCAACAGCAGGACAAAAGGATGTTGAAAAGGTGATTACTCTGAAGGCCAGATATTTTGTGAAGCAGCAGCTTTAATGTTGCTGCTGGCAGTGCAGTATGCCTCCATGTCTAGGATTCATACGGATTCACCGTTTCCCACTGCCGGGAAGTGCCTCTCTGTTCTCTAGAAGGAGGCAAGGCTGTCGCTGCTGTCCTCTGTACCTGACAGGACCCAGTGCTGTAAGTGTGGCTGTTTGTGCCAGGCTGTGGAGAGGGAACAGGAGCACAGCCTTCCCAGCAGCAGCTGGATTGCCTGTCTGCCACCAGGACACAGACAGGAGCACAGGGAAAGGATAAGCAGGGATTTGAAAGGCTTGGTCCTCGTTCATTCCTGTCACTGATGGGACCAAGGCAAATAGTCTGGTTTGTCTTTCAGATCCCGGATTGTGTTCCAGGACAAATACAATCAGGGAAAATATTATTGTAGTTCACGTCTGCTTTGATCACACTTAATCAGAGAAGTGATACTGGTAGCTGTGCCAGATGCTCTGAGAAGGAATTGATGTTGTAAATCACACTGGCCTTCAAGAGGGCTTAGACAGATCTGGGTCTTGGAGAATCATTTCCCTGAACTGTTATGGACTTTCAACAAAATGAATTGAACCGTCTTCTAATGAACACTCAACTCAGTTTTGGGAATGTAAATCAGCTGGCAAAACACCTGCCAAATCAAGTGTCTTATTCTAACGTAATGGGTGACTAAATACACATTCCTGTGCTGGAGATTTAAATAATCCTTTAGAGCACCGTGAGAGTAGCAGAGGCTTTGGCAGACAGAGGAAAACCTACGAAAGAGGATGAACAAGCTGCAGAGACTGGTAAAACATCTACTTTACTATTATTATTGACAGATTTTTTAAAAATTAGAATATTTATAAGGCTATGTAAGTACTGTCAGGTATGCATAGAATTATTTTTCCAGTTCATCACAGTCCTTGGGATAAAGCTGACAGACTAATGGCTCTCCTGGCAGCTGCACAGTGGCTGGGAAAACGCTGCAGAAGCCGGGAGTTATGGAAGGCTTGGGAAGGCCACTCTGCAAAAACAGCTCAGCTCTGAGCACAGAGGTGTTTTCTGGCCCCTGAAGGGAGAAACAAAACCTTTGGCTTTAGCTCATGGTCACAGAAGAGCTCTGTGATACCGGATTTGATAGGGGATGTACTCTGTAATGGAAGCAGAAGGAGTGGCATATTCCTAGAAACTGCCAATGAAAAAGAAACATGCTGTTGTAGGGAGAGGAAACTCTCACCTGGAGAAGGAGGATATAGCAGAGATCTCAGGTGCCCAGTCCTTAGCTCAGTTCTCAGTAATAAGACAAGGAGGTGGTGTAGCCATGGAAAGTGCAAGTGAAATGTATCTGCTGTGAGCTGGGACAGGAGAGCTCAGTCTCCTCCTGCTGCAGGCTTGAAATAGTCTGAATTTATTTCTGTCCTGGGAGAACATCCTGTCTCGGGCTGGTATGGAAGTTATTTAGAAGAAAACACTTTGAGGAGAGGGGAAAAAAATCAAGATTATTTGAATTTGTGGTTTTAGAGCTATTGTGGACTAGACCAAAATTTCCTTTTCTTTGGTGGAAGGCTCTATAAGTAGAAACTTATAAAGGTAAAGTAGAAGGAGGTCCTCAGCTTTGGGCTATTTAAGTTCTCAGGGCCACTGGGGTCATATTCATGTAGCAAAACACAGTCTGGCCTGAGGTGCCCTGCACTGGCTGGCAAACAGCCGAGCCTGAGCATGGCTCTTTATGTTACACTAGCACTTTCCTGCTGGGAGGGGTTTTTAAGCAGGGGGCTGGCAAAGGCCATGCTGGCCTTGGGCCACCCAGAACATTGTGCAGGAGATGTCAGGCTAAAGACCAGGAGCCCTCAGCGTGCTCAGAGTGGTCTTGAGATGTGGAACAGAGCTCCCAGTCCCAAATCTCCCTCAGGGCACATCTCGCCTGTCATAGGATTTCAGCTACGGATGGGAAAACCAAAGGCACAAAATAGTGGAAAGGGTTGTCTGTTTTTGCTTGTCAGCCTGCCAGTGAGCTGTCAGCTGCTGAGCTGGGCCAGCCAGGACAGCTTGTTCCACACCCTTCAAAAAGTCAAGAGCCCTGACTTTTATGCTGTGATGCTGCAGGAGGCAGCTCCTGCCTGTGCTCCCAAGGCTCAGCAGCTGGGTCACCTGGTGCTCATGAAGGAGACCTGAACATGGCATAGGAACCTGCTGTCTGCCATGTATTTCACCTGTATCAAAATGCTGAATACACAATTATAGATGGCTAAACATTGTCTGCTCTGTATAACAAATGTAGCACCACGGGAAAGACACTCTAATCTAAAATATCTGTTATTATCATGAAAGGATAGAAATAATAGCACACCAAGGAATCCTGAATGCAATGGGTATACATGGCCGTGGGAGAATCCCCCAGCTCAAGGTCTGAATGTCTGTTGAGTCACTTTATTCTGTGCAAGGAAGCCATCCATCGTCTGCCCCTTTTCTTCAGCTTCAGAACAAGATCCTGATCCTGACAATATGTGCTGCTGGGATTGGAGGCACTTTCCAGTATGGTTACAACCTCTCCATCATCAATGCCCCAGCCACAGTGAGTATTGCTGCTCCCCCTTGGCAGACCCTCCCTTGGTGGCTCTGCTGGGCTGTGAGCAGAGCTGTGCCACTGGAAATCTGCAGGCTGAGGGACAAAAGCAAGGATGTGTGGTTCCCTCTGTATAATTCACGTCTGTAGTACAGGACTTTGTTGTCAAAAGCCACCCTTGAGCAGGACCTAGTGTCACAAGAGTTTATTCAAAAGCTTTGTTTCAACTCCTTTAGCAAAATCTAATTCTAAAGTTTTCCAATCTGCATCTTTTGAAGTTGATTTTTGCCCTTAGATTGAAAGTGAGAACCAAGAAATAAATTTTTAAATTATCAAAAATAAGTCCACAGAGATATAAACCAACTGCAACTTTTCAACAGCAACAGTTTTGCACCCTAAACTCTTATGCTAAAAACACATCTGAGAACTGGAGGAGATGGGAAGCATAACCACAGGATAAATAGATATATTAATAAAGGAGCCTTTCTCTGTCCTTCACCTGTGTGGTGGCTCTGCAGCTGTGTCCTTCTCTCTCAGTACATCCAGATGTTCATGAACACCACCTGGCTGGAGCGCATGGGTGCTCCCTTGGAGAGCAACGTGATCCTGCTGCTCTGGTCCTTCACAGTCTCTGCCTACCCTCTGGGAGGCCTCACTGGGGCTGTGGTGGCTGGGCCCATGGCCATCAGGCTGGGCAGGTAAGAGGTGCTGGAGTTTAATTTCGGCTTTGCAGCTTCCCTTAGTCCAAGGGGAATTAGGATCCCTACAGCAAAATACCCATCGTGGTTAAAAATAATGAAAACACGTTTTGTGTCACAGATCAGCCTGCTGTAAAACACTCTGGCTTGGCAGGGAGAAGCTACCTGACAGGACATATTTCATATTTCAAAACTCAACAGGGAACAGTTTTTTCCCCACATTTACCTTCTCATCACATTCCAGCCCAGCTGAGCTGCTACAAGGATTTCAGCTCAACTCCTTATCACAGTACCCACCTACATAATCTCTGTCATTTTTGTGCCCAGTTTTCTGCCGTGCTTTTAAATGGGAAATCCTAATGGATCAGACTAAGGATTTTTCTTCACAATAAACTGTGGGAATGACACTAGAAAAACAGAGGGTGCTTACAAAGAGCAGTGGTTGCATCCCAGCTCCTCATGTCTCACAGGCTGCCTATCCACTTTTTGTTCTGAAATATTTCAGGAAGTATTCATTAAATCTCCACAGTGGGACTTTTTTCTCTATGCTTGAGTCTCTGAAAAGTATCTGTCTTACCTCATGTATCTTTCATATACAACTGTATCCTCAGTTCTCTTCAGAAAAAATTAGTGTTACCAACATAAACTAATAGGAAATTAGATTTTGGCTGCCTGTCTCTTGACCCCAAGATTTTCCTCTATGTGCTATTACTTTAGTTTGCTCCTCTTTTATGATGAAGGAGACCCCATTATGGTTTGAGGTCCCATGATTTACTTTTGCATAGTTATGAAGACCTGAAAGGAAATGGCTTCCTTAATCTATTAAAATTTTTGAGATTTCACCCTGTACTATTTTGGAATAAAATCATATTCCATCATAAATAAGAGAAACAAAGACTGACTGGTAAGGCAGCGAGCAGGGACTAGAGAGAATTTCTGGCAATAATAACAGTAGGGGTCAATAGAGCTCTCTTTTTTCCCCCTGGTTTTCAGCAGGAATTTCTCCTGGGATGCATGAAAATTTCCTGACAAAGTTTCACAGCAATCACACTATTACATGAAAAATGCCTTTTTTAACAAATTAGCATTTTCAGACTAAAATGCACATGGCTTGCTGAAGGAATATTCCCCTCCATTCGAATGGAAACTGCTGTGAGCACAAGAGCCCTGAAGCTGGGGGAGAAGCTGGTGGTGGCCTGAGGGCAGCACTGCAGGGACAGGTGTGGCCCAGGGACACCTGCAGGGCTTGGGTCACCCAGGGTGCTCTGTGTGGGGCTGGGCAGGGTTAACCACGGGAAATGTTTTATCCTGACACACACAGTGCTCACAACTCTCCTTTCTCTCTTAAGGAAGATGTCCCTGCTGCTGAACAATGTCTTTGTGATCGTAGCTGCAGCCTTGTCTGGGTTCAGCCGAATGGCCAAGTCCTTTGAAATGATTATGCTCAGCAGATTTTTTGCTGGCGTGAATGCAGGTATGGCAACATTGGAAATACAGAAGGACAAAGGTGAGAACAATTAGAAGAAATTTAAGTAGGAATGATCTAGGATATTAAAGCAATTAATGCTTTAGGCTGACCAGATACATGTAAGTGAATTAAGAAGTTGTATATACAGATTTTATACTTTGCTTCTAAGGGCTTTCTTTAAAAGCATACACTGTGGGGGAGTTGTACTACACATAAGAATCTCTGTGCACAAGGAAAATTTGAACAGCAAATTATCCCTGTCTGATTGTAAGAATCAGTCACTCACCAGCATGAGCACAAATACAAAAGCTTTTGTAGAAATTCATCCCAGGAAATTATCAATATAAAGGACTTAAAATATGACATTCCCCTCAAAAGGGGGAAGTCGAGGGAAACATTGCACATAACCTTAAATTTTGTGCTGGAAAGACCATAGGATTGAGGCCCTGACAGGTTTCAGATTTATGATTCACTGCTACTGATGAATATTGAAATGTGTGTTTAGTTGCACAAGGGACAGGTGTGAAACTGAAGGTAAATAACAAGTAAATCAGTTATCACATGGCCTGCAACAGAAGAGTGCAGCTGGCAACCTCGAGAAGTGCCTGAGTGCATTTTTTGTGGTCTCCTCTGGCCACAAGCTGAGGTCAGGATTTGTCTGCCTTGCCAGGTGTAAGCATGAACATTCAGCCCATGTATCTGGCAGAGAGTGCCCCAAAGAAGCTCAGGGGAGCTGTGGCCTTGACCTCTGCATCATTTACAGCCCTGGGGCTGGTGCTGGGCCAGGTTGTTGGACTCAGGTAATGTAAAACAAGCAACCCACATATGAAATCCTTCCCTTCCTTCCCTTCTTCATTTGCCAGGTTATAAAAATACTGTGTAAATGGTGTGTGTTTGTTTTTCCCTAGGGAGCTCCTAGGAGGGGAGGAGAGCTGGCCATTCCTTTTAGCAAGCAATGTAGTTCCTGCCCTGATCCAGCTCACAGCTCTGCCTTGGTTGCCTGAAAGTCCCAGATATCTCTTGATTGACCGTGGAGACAAAGAATCCTGCATCTCTGGTGAGTTTGGGGTGACTGTTAGCTCCTCGAGGAGCATATGAGACTTGGGCCCCAACGTTTTCAGAATGATGTCACAAATTTTATATGTAGGAAGTTTCGTATCAAGCTGTAAATATGATCACTTCCTCCTTCCAAACTAAAGAACTTTCTATAATCTTAAATATATTTGATCTGTTGAGGTAACTGAAAGGCATCTTCCTGCAATAGACTTATTAGCTACAGTAAAGGGTCAAAAGGTAAGACTTGTGTTCACAATGGCAAATACGTTTTGTAACTATGAAGTGAAATAAATGCTGGTTGAAGAGCTCAGGATCAAATCTGAAGCCAATTCATATTAAAGGATTTACTTAGATTTGTGGCATACAAATCCTCATATGCAGAGTGGCTGGAGTTATTTTGTGGGAAATATGTGCAGTGTACCAAGAACATCTTAATTGCCTGCTTTTCCCAGGAAAGGCACTTGAGATCTGAGTCAGAAGCATGGCAGCTAAAATGGCAATGCTGGGAAATACTCAGTTGTCAAACAATGGTGAGGGATTTGCACTCCCTTTCCCCCAAATCTTTCAAGTGGCTGCACTGCAGCTGATCAACTCTGTGAAGGTCACAGCATGATCACAGGCTCTGTCCTGCAGCTTTCTGCTGCTTGATCCCTCACCCTGCAGAGCAGCAAACTGAAGAGAAACCCAGGAATAAGAGATCCCCTTGTCCTTGCAGCACTGCAGAAGCTCAGAGGCACCAGTGACCTGAGTGCAGAGCTGGAAGAGATGATGGCAGAGCAGGCTGCTGTTAAAGGTCAGAGAGCAAAGAACCCGTGGGAGCTGTTCCAGAATCCAGCTCTGAGGTGGCAGCTGGCGAGCATCATTGTGCTGAGCAGTGCCATGCAGCTCTGCGGGAACGACTCGGTAAGCAGCTGTGGCTGGGACCTGCCTGGGACCTCCTGGGCTCAACATTCTGGCAGCAGGAGAGGAACAAAGAGTGTCCCTGCCTGTGGAGATCTTCAAATGTCAGGTGTTAGGTTCCCAAAACGCACCTGTGCATTGTGGGGACATTCAGAAGGATGCTGTCACAATGGCCTGGGTGTCAGCACGTTGGTCACTCTGCATGCTCCTCCAGGAAAAACAATGGGGTGTGTTTTCAGATGTCTTCCCTTACTGCTCTCTCCTTTCTTCTCTTCACAGATGTATTCTTATGCAGCTTATGTGTTTGAAGAGGCTGGAATTCCTCAGGACAAAATTCCCTACGTTGTAATCGGCACGGGAAGCTGTGAGCTGATCACATCTGTCACTTGTGTGAGACTCTCAGTGCACTCTGGTGACATGCAGCCTCTGCTGGCAGGGAGGAGGCTGTTAATTACAAATTTTGGGGCTTTTGATGCCAAGGAAGCCCTTTGGGCACAGGAGCCAGGCTGTCTGTGAGCACCCCCAGGCACACAGGCTAATGCACAGCTCTCTGGTCAGACATTGCATTGCCATCAATGTCTGAAATCTCCAACAAGTGTAACTCTCTTGCTTCGTGTTCATATGGATGGTGGCAGAGTTGAGTGCAGCTGGGACATTCTCATCTGCCCTGAACACCCTTCTTGCCTGACTCCTGCCACCAGAACTTTCTTTAGAGTTTTATTTGCTATGAAGCAGACAACATCCTAAAAGTTACTGTAGAGCGAACTAGGCATGGAGTATCGAAAGGTAAAGAGGAGAGAGGCAGGAAATACAAGCAGAGGTTAAATATTTTGCTTTATTTCACTGTGTTACCTTGTGCAGAGCATGATTATAGACTGTGCTGGTCGGAGGCCGCTGCTGCTGGGGGGATACATCTTCATGGCAGGATGGGCCGTGGTGTTCATGGTCGCTCTGAGCCAGCAGGTAACAAACTGCACTTAATTATTTAAGTGGAATGGAATTGGACTTTGCCTTTTATATGGCTGGGGTGTTCAGTGGTGGCAAATAAGTGCCCTCACTGGTTTTCCATTGGTCTCTGTGGCTGTAGACTCAGATTAGCTGGATGCCTTATCTCAGCGTGGCCTGCATTTTCGCCTATATCCTGAGCTTTGGAATCGGACCAGGTCAGTTCCCTCAGCGTTTTCAGCGAAACTTTTGGGGACTGCAGGGGTTTGGAGGCATCTTATAGAAACTCTCAGACCCTCTTTATCTGCAGCATACTTAGGGGAAGGAGGCCATTTCTGCAGTGGTGTTTGGCTGTTCCAGGGCTTTGTGTGCCCTGGTGAGTTTGTGCCGTGCAGGGCCAGGCTGTGCCCTTTTGTCCCTGTGTCACATTCCCCCTCACAGGCATCTTGGCTATTAGAACAAGGCACTTGCAAGTGATTCTTGGCTGAAATGGATGACAAGCTTTTGATTTGTTGCCTAGTCCATTAGGGCTGTAAACCAGCATTTTCTAATGCTTCACTTTAATCCTAGAAATTGTTGGCTATGCCATCTGATTATTTTCTTGCAGACACTTGGAAGCACAACTTCCATGCCTATTTGTTACCCTACTAATGTGCCTTTCTGTGGCAGAATCCACTTGTTTCTGGGGGTGGGCAATACACAGGATGCTGTGAATGTTTGCATGGTGAATAGATAGATGTGAGACTCTGTTTGCTCACATGAAGGAAGGCAGGTAAGAATAGAACCAAGCTGCCAGTGTCACATGCCACACAAGTTGGCAATAATTTTTTGTCCCAGTCCTTACAGTGCCATGGGGTTGAATTAATTATAAGCTTTTCTCACTTTTGGGTCCTGGTAAGAATAATGTGGATTAAAAAACCTTTCCTGGCAGTTCCTTCTAACGTGAGAAAGTTTGAATTACCCAGTCTTGAATATTTAACCTAAAAATTCACCTCTTACACTTCACGTTGGGTTAAGAGGTGTTCTCTTGTTTTTAATGTAAAGTCAACAACATTATTATTATTTCTTGCCATTTCTTTTTCCAGCTGGTGTAACAGGAGTTCTGCCCACAGAAATTTTTGATCAAATGTCCCGACCAGCTGCTTACATGATCTGTGGCTCCCTGCTCTGGTTCAACTTATTTCTGGTTGGAACAGCCTTTCCATTCATTGTGGTGAGTTCCCAAAGCAAAGCAGCTCTTTAGTACTCTGCACAAGGAAGAGGCTCTGGTAGTGACCAGGAAAAGAGAATACTGAAGCAGCAAGATAGCACTTCTTTGAAAAGTATCTTTATGAGGACAGTGGCCACAACTCCTTTGAACCAGACTTTCTCTGTGTTCCCTATGGTGATTTCTGATTTGGGGTTGGGAGTGGAATCATTTGGGGGATGGATGATCAATGTTCCTCGTCTGTCCTCAGTTGAGAGCAGCTGGAACTAAAGATGTGATGTAATTTCCTTTCACCAGACCCTGGCACCATTCCCTACGATGATTCCTGAAGCAAAAGGGAGCAGAACTCCATGATACAAATTCCTGTCTTATTTCCTACTGAGGGCTCCCATGCTATACAATTATATATAGACAGAAAGACAGAAAAAGACATTTCAAAATACTGGTCTTGCTATGTCAAATTTCCCAATCTATGCTGGGGAGCTGTTGCATCCAGGCATGTGAGGCCCTCACCAGGATTCCCAGAAATACTCCCTGAGTGACTTTAGACAATACAGGAAGAGGGATTAGTGGCCTTTTTGTCATCATAGAGATTGTCACCAACACTCTCTTGTTTTTTTTCCTCCTCCTCAGAAAAGTCTAGCACATTTCTGCTACATCCCATTCCTTGTGGTCTGTGTCTGCACTGCCCTCTACGTTTGGTTTTTCCTTCCTGAGACCAAGGGGAAATCCTTCCTGGAAATCTCAGAGGAGTTCAGGAAACGGAACTTCAAAACTAAGACCCGTGCAGGTTTCTATAAAGGCCCTGAGGAGATCAAAACCACCACATTGTAGCAGAAGAAAGGAGGATGGTGTCTGGGGGCATTGTGCAGTGAATTCAGCCATGGCTATGTGTCCTTGCAGGGACACAAAGAGAGAAGTCAGGGACAATATATTACTCTTAGGTCCTTAAGTTCACCTTGAAAACATACACTTGAACTGATAAATCCAAACAAATGTTCAATAAGCTGTTCTCAGTTTTTAGTATTGAGTAACTGAGTAACACATGCATGTTTTAGAATCCATATCAGAGAGTTGCAGAATGATGCCTATTCTCTCATACAACACCATGTAATGCTTCAGAAAATTTCATCAGAATTTCTCCAAACAGAAGCTTCCATCTCAGAAGTCCTTCTTTCCTTGCTCCTGAATCTGGGCTTTCTAACACAGAAATTAATGCGATTAAATTCTGTTTTCAGACAGCAGATGAAATTTTCAGTACCTTGTCTTGGTGCTCCCGTTGTTTCTGTTATTAAGTGATTTCAAATAGACCCCTACTTGTTAAGCAATAGTGAGCAGTTAATTATTTTCAGCTATAAAAACATGTGACAGATGGATTAGAAAGAAAGCTTCTAGTACTTGCTAAGTGGCTTATTATACAACAGACTTTTGGGCATTGTTTTGCAGACTATTTATTCTGGACTGGTTTTCTTCATGGTTTGTTGTCTTCCAGTCCTATGTTGTAAAGCACAAGTAATTCCCTGGTCCAGTGAGTTCTGCTCCCACAGACACTGCTGGTGCACCTTGCAGGGTTTGCACCTATGCTGTGCTGAGGTGAAGCACAGTGAGGTGCTGGCATGGCAGCAGTTTGTTTTGGATGCGGATCTTTAGATCACACCACAGTGTTCTCTGCAGCATGTTGTCTCTGTAGAGCACATTGGCAGAGACCCAGATGTGACTTTGATTCTTTTCAATTAACCTGATACAGAGCAGGGCAACACTCCTCGCTGAATATGCCCTTCCATATTAAGGTTAAGGTTAAGTTTCTTCCAGTTTCTTCTCAAAGTCACAATCAAGCCACCTCTTTTCTTTGACTTTGTATGGAAGTCACAGCACTGCTTGTGTTTGCAGCAAAGAACACATACATTTTCAAAATAAGTCAGCAAAGTTTCTTTCAGTGTATTTTTAAACTATATTTTAAATAAAAATGCAGCATTTTTGAATAAAAAGACTGTAAACATTTCTGGAGTGTATTGCTGTCGTGCTGGGCATGAATGGAGCAGCAGATCTATTTCTCAGAAGAGGAGTCTGTACAAGAACTCTCTTTCACTACCCAAAGTTCATAATGTATGAAAAAATAAAAGTAAACTTTTTTTCCTTTGTGGTTGCTTCTATTTTAGAGGTCATTAATATGTAGACATGGGCAAGAGCAACTACCTCTGCTGTTGGAAAACACTGAGATTTTGAAGTATGCAGGAAATTGAGACAAGATAATCAAGAGCAGGACTCCATAGAATTGGGAACTGAAGAGATACTTTTCATTACTATAGTTTGGAGAAAGCAGTGAGGGACAGATGGAAAGAGTGAAACACAAAGTCAAAGCAAAAAGTGCCACTACCATCATGATGGTGGCAAAATATTCTGTCATTCCTTTGGTGAGGAGCAGAGGAAGAGACAGAAGTGAGGCAGAGGGAAGAAGGGAAGCAGAGCCGTGGGGAGCATGCAGGGTAGGAAACAGGGATGGGCTGAGGAGACTTCCAGGGCAGAGGGAGAGGCCTGGCTCACCCTGCTGGGACACACAGGTCACACAAAAGTCCTCCAGTGCCCAGAGGTCCTCACCTCGGCCACTTCTGTGGCTACTCCCATGAGTCGAGATTGCCTTTTCCCAGAGCCCTGCAAGGACAGGGGCCACCTGCACCTGCCAGTATGGGACAGGCTCGGTCACAAATCATACACATTTACTTCATTTCCTGACTTTTAGAGCCAGTCCTGTGAGTACATGCGACAGAAAACCTTAATTCCAACTTCCACCTTTTTTTTTCTGACTGTGGCCTGAAATCAGGGGTCTATAAACTGATTAAGCAAACGCAGACAGTGGTTACATTTCAGTTGGTCTAAGTTGTTAAATTTTAATTGAAGCATTTAACAAGTTGGTTAATTGATACTGAATTAAAACACCTTCAGCTGAGAAATCTGTGACACTTGTTCACGTTTTCTTCTCTTATGAAGTGTTGGCAAAACAATGTCTTGAAAAGTGATCCTCAGAGACTCACAGTTGATATTACTGTTTGCAGATCAAATAATTGTGCACTGTTGGATTGATTAATAATCATCAACACTAGAGAAAACTAGTGCTGCTGTTGTCCTCAAACACTGCTCCTCTGCACAAGCCAGCTCTCATTTGCAGCCCAGCTGGTGTTGGGGTTCTTCCAAAGACATACAGCATCCACCAAGGGCAGCCACGCACAGGAGAAAGAATTCCCCACTAAGATGTTTGAATAACTTGTAAAAGCCTTTTAACAGAACCATCTTGGACATTTACCTTCAAAATCATGGATAAAACTAAAGATTTTATAGTCAGGATTTAAAACTGACATTAAACTTTCCTAGCATCTGTTACCTCTTATAGGGATACAGACTTGAACTTTCAGCCAGTGACCATCACTCTCAGAGAGTCAATTGATCAGTCAATTGATAATTCAGCAGTTGGATGCACAGTCATTGTCTGTCTTGGCCAAGTTGGCTTAAAAAGGCTTTTCTGAATTGAGGCTCAAGGTAACACTCACGAACTTTTCCTTTGGATGTGATAAATGATTACCCAGCCCACGACTTTGTGAGTCCAAGCCAGCCCACTCCAGTTTGCTCCAGTCCTTGGACTTCGACTTCCATTGGTGCTTTCCTCATTGCCCTTTACTCATCTCCTGCAGCTCTTGCTGTGCACAGCAGCTGCCAGAGCCTGCCCAGAGCCCTGGCAGGAGCTCACCAGCTATCCCCAGCTTCAGCAGCAGCCAACACAACAACAACAAACCACTCAGCATGACAAAACAACGGGAGTGTAAACACTGCCAGAGAGCAAAATGACGTGTTGAAATATTATCTCAGGCTCCTCTTTCTCTATATAAAAATGAACTTTTTCTAAACTAGCCAAAGAAATCATCAGGAAAGACCTAGACTGCAGGTGGGGATGACTACCTTTGCATGCAAGTTGGTGTGAAGAGGTTTGATGCCCATTCAAGCAATGATATTCCCCTGATTAGAAATCAGCTTGTAAATGCTCAGCAGTCATTGTCTGAATATGAAATATTCAGGCATAGAGATGCAGCATCACACTCTCATTGCTGGCCAGGATATTCCCAAGACAGTAACAGGGAGCAGAGGCAGTGAGAGGGGTTGAGTATTGCAGTCCTATATTCTTAAGCCTCCTATCAGAGAGTTCTAAGAAAAGGTGAATAAACTCTGAAACCAGGATTGCCCTTCAATGCCCAAATGTCTATCTAGTTTCACCCAAGTCACTGAGCAAGACACTCATTTAGGTAAGCTAACAAGTGGGAAAGGAGGAGAAGAAAGGACAAATAGCTGGAATTGTTCATAAAATGCTTGCACATTGCACTATGCTCCCACAACTATGACAGTGCAGATTAAGATGGCCAAAGCTGGAGACAGAAGCACTGAAGTGTGTAACTGGGTTCTGGGAGGCACCTGTGAGCTTGGTCTGTACTCAGGGTCCTCCCTCCCCTGGGCTTTAGTAGCTGTGTTTTCTTATTGCTGTCTCCTTGGTCTCAGAGGACCAAGGAGCAGGAGGCAAGTGTGTGGCATTGCTCAAATTGTTAGAGTTCCCAAGGAAACCACAGGACATTTGGAGGCATGTCTGGATAGCTGAACCACTTTGTTTGCTGGTTTTATTTCCTGCAAGAAAATGAGCTACAACCTTTTCCTCCTGGCTTTTGTCCTGGGCATTACTGGAGCTTTCCACTATGGATTGCAGGTCTCCATTATCAATTCTCCTGCTGAGGTAAGCATGGAGAGCTCAAAGATTGAGCTACCAGGATTTCACTGTTCTCTGGCATTCATGCCTCTATATGCAATGGATAACTTTTTACTTGTGCTTTCAAAATTAGACTTATCGTGGTTTCTTAGTTCTAAGAGTAGCTGCTACTGCTCTTGTGTTTCATGAGGTTTGAATTTCTGTCTGATGTGACAGAACTGGGAAAGGGAAGGATGAATGATATCATAAAGTCAGGCATTTTCCCCTTGCTGAGTGGGATTGCTCCCAGGGCATTCTCCTCTCTCCATTGCTCAGGGAGTCCCTTGTACCATGTGCCTGATCACACACACAATTTCCAAGTGGCTCTAAGGTGAAATAGGGCAGGGAAGGACTATTCTAGAGCTGAGGTCAGCACTCTTACCTGTAGCTGGAAAAGGAAAACTGGGGAAGGTGTTTGTCATCCTGAATGGTACCAAGGACACTCAGCTCATAGTGTTACCAGAGACAAGCAGGAATGGCAAGAAAAGATCAGGTAGAGAAAAAAATCAGGGTTTAGGACAGGTACAGAAGACCAGACTACCATTCTCTTACTGGCACTCACAGTTGATACTTAATATTGATATATTCATTGGATTTCATTGCTAAAACATCAGCTTCAAGGATGTTAATGGCAAAATTCCCATTGATTTCACTGGGGCTAAGATTTCAACCAAGGTTATTGATATAAATGTATAAAAAAAACCAATAAGAATAAGAGAATTTAAAAAGCAGTGTAATTATGCAAACACATGTTGATTGAGCCCACTCTTTGTTTTGTGGTTTTTTTTTTCCTTTTAAAGTACATCCAAAGTTTCATCCGTGAGACCTGGCTGAAGAGATATGGCTCCTCTCCCAGTGCAGAGATGATCACTTTGTTGTGGTCCTTTATTGTGTCCATTTACAGCATCGGTGGGCTCCTGGGCTCCTCCTCTGCTGGGTACTTGTCTGTTAGGTTTGGAAGGTAGGAAGAGTGGTTACACCATTCCTTCTGTTTACACTCACAACTGCAGAAAAATAAACTCTGTCTCAGGAGAAACACTGCTTGTAATGTGGCATTGTGAGCAGCCCAGGGCTTCCAATTAAAGACCAGTGTAGTGAAGAAACAGAATGGAAAATCTGCCAATGATGACAAGGAAAATCATACCCTCTCCCTTATAAAGTGCAAAGTAAATCTAGTCCAGGGAAGTCACACAAGAAGTACATGCATTTTAAAGAGGATTTCAGAGACAGCCACTCACAAAGCTTACTCTCCACTAGAGGCATCAAAATCTTCAACCACCTCATCAGTCTGTGACAAGTTTCCCCATTGCCATTTCCCATTTCCTTCAGCTGATCTCAGAAGCCAGCCCTGAGTCTGTAACCGCGGTACAATCCGTGCCACTCCTGTCAGGCTGTGAGTGAGGCAAGGGCAGTATTTGTGCTCACATTAATTTGAATGAATTCCAGGAAGAAGGCCCTGCTGCTTGCCAACATCCCTGCTCTGCTGGGTGCAGCTCTGATGGGACTCAGCCGCCTGTGTGGATCTTTTGAGATGATCATGGCTGGAAGGTTGTTTTCTGGAGTCTGTGGAGGTAAATTGGCATTCCTACCTGTGGTATCAAATAGTGGGAAGAGCAGTGACTGAGGGTCACAAGGATTCACCAGCCTGAGTAAACAGATCACAGATTTTTTTACTACATTCTGCAGAGAAAATGATTGCTGAGTGCATTTTTAACTAAATAAGAAACCACAAACATAATTCAATTAATAATGTATGGCATCTCCATTTCTCTTTCTTCTATCTTGACATCCAGTCCATACAAAAGGTACTGCCAACTTCTGATAAGCCAAAACCTGCAATATTTCAGGGAAGCCTGCTCACTCAATAGAGAACAGGCCTCTGTTGTTCCTGTTGCTTTTTGCTGTGCCTGATGCTGCCCTCCACATTACAGACAAGGGAATAGTTTTCAAGCCAATTCAATTAGAATTTTCAACTCTAATTTCCAGATGCCTCAGAAGGTTACATTCTGCCAGTGCTTTTTATCCCTGAGCAGCTGGATAAAGATAATACTAACCAGAAAAAAGAAGAGAAGATAAAAATTAATTCACTGAGCAGATAGAATGTACAGCATTTGCCAACTTAGTGGTTTCAAGCAGAAAATAAAACACATACCCGAATAGGCACTGAAAAAACGCCATCTAAGACTAGAGGGAGTAACCACAGTCCTGTCTGTATATGTGGCTGCAGGAAATAATGGAAGAGAAGGCCAGCCTGCTGAAGGACAGATTTCCCAGGGGCCCATACTTACCTAGTGAAATATTTAGCAAAGGCACAAGGCCGTGGTATGGGGCACATGCTGCAGGTCAGGCAGCCACATCCTCAGCACAGATAAAAATGTATCTGAGAGCCAACCCCTATAGGCAGCCAACCCCTCCAAACCAGCAGACCTAGAGGATCTGCATTGCCCTAAGAGTCCTTTGTCACTGCAGGTTTAGCTCAGAATGTCCATATCATGTATGCTGGGGAATGTGCTCCAAGGAAACTCCGAGGGCTGATTGCCATAACAGCTTCCACCTCCATTGCTACTGGAAAATTTATAGGATTTGCTCTGGGTCTCAGGTAAGAGAGTCTAAAACATACTCAATTTCTTCCATTATTAAAATACATGCATGGATCAGTGCACACTTATGCCCAGCAGCTGCTATTTGGAGCAGTCAGTCCCAGTCTGATAACTCCTGGATCTTGCAATAATCGTAATGTGATCAGAATGGTAATGGATCAGGAACAGAGGGATCAGCGCCTGCAGGTTTTCCTTCAGCGCTTGTACTGGGACTGTTGGTCCCTGTGAGCCCTCAGCTGCTGCAGGAGGACACAGGTGGCTTTGCTGTGCCCAGCACTGGGCAGCAGGAGCCAACACCGTGCTGCAGGTGATGCCGACATACCCGGCAGGGCTGGGGGATGATCCCGTGTCTGCTCACACGGCTCCTCTCACCCTGCTGCTTTTGTTCTTTTGTTCCAGAGAAGTTCTTGGAGTGGAGGCTCTCTGGCCAATTCTCCTGGCAGCCAATGCAGTCCCTGCCCTTGTTCAGCTTCTCACCCTCCCCTTCTTCCCAGACTCTCCTCGCTACCTGCTCATTGACCGAAAGGACAAGGAGGGCTGCATCAAAGGTAAGGAAATGAGCCATAAATCGCTCATTTCAGGAAACAGGGGAGAACACAGTAAAGCCCCAGATGAGTCTGGAAGAGAGGTACAGGTGGGAAAAAGACTCTTGGTGTTTTGGCTCTGAAAGCACCTTCAGCTTAAAGGAAAGTCAGCCTCTTCTGTGCTCTCCTGGCACAAGTATTTCCCTTACCCTCTGCCAGGGTCCTCCAAGGGAGGTGATCACACACAGCTTGTATTTGCAGCAATGCAGATTCTGCCCTGAGCTGTCAGAGTACAGATACAGAACCTTCTCTGAGGCTCTGCACGGTCATGCTGGACCTGTAAGCATTCCAGTTCTTCTGTAACCCCAACAGCAGCTACTGACAGAAACTGAGCAACAGCCACTGTGGGTATTTAACTATCAAAAGATACAACTCCTTGGATGTAAACTTTTTTTTATATGTAGAAGTCGTTTTATCTTGTCTGTGTTTTGGAGTGTGCACTAGAACTGCACCTTTAGCAGGAGGGTATTCAGGGAAGGATTAGTAGGAATTTAGGTGTGACTTACACTGAAAGACTGTCAGCAGCTATTAGCCAAAAGTGAGGTCATATTAATATTTATGGGCAAAACCAGACATCAGTGTTCTGGACCTGTGTCATTTCTGAGCCCAGATCTTTAGGAAGTTCACACAAGAACAGAGCATGAAGTTCTAATAAGACACTCTGCAAAGCAGGAAATAATCTTCTGGATTCATGTCTGTGCTGGTGAGCTTGGTCACCTCTCCTGTCCTTCCAGCTCTGAAGCAGCTCTGGGGAGATGGGGACCATATGGCTGAAGTAGATGACATGATGTCAGAGCAGAAAGCCATCCGTGGGGAGAAGGCCAAGGGCATTTGGGACCTGCTGAGGGACAGGGCAGTGCGCTGGCAGCTCATCACTCTGTTCCTCGTCATCTCCTGCATGCAGCTCATCGGGGCCAATGTGGTACGTGCCGTGCTTAGCCCTGCCCTCTGCTTGGCTGGCAAACTGCTCAGCAACTCTGCAAGGAGCTGGGAATGACTGCAACAGTGCCCTAAGGAGGGGTCTGTGGTTGCTGTTTATTACAATCCTTTCCCCTGGAAGTCTGGGACCTGGGATAAGTCGAGAGCTGTGTTTTAGCGGGTGTCTTCTGAAGGCTTTTCTATGGATTACCCTGTTATGACAAGACGATTTTCTATTTTGTTAAAGTCTGGTTAGTTATTTTCCATCCAAAAAGACAGGTGCTAGTGTAAACATGGCCACATGTGCACAGCTTTCACAAATTTCTATTCTTTCCAGGTTTACTCTTATGCATACAGTATCTTTATAAAGGCTGGAATCCCCCCTTCTCAAACCCATTATGTCTCCCTGGGGGTTGGGACCACTGAGATCCTCTCCACAGTTCTGTGTGTAAGTGGCTTTTCAGCTGAATTTTGTTCTGCTGCAATACATTGCTCATTTTGATCTTTAGAAATACTGTAAATAGAGCTTCAGGAATCAAATTTTTGCGACAAATGAACCATGGAAATGATCAGATTCCCCGAAGTCCTCTCTCCACACCCTGCAGACATGGACATTTCTGTTGAGCTTCTGGAAACAGTTGAGTCTTTCTGTCAAAATCCCAACTCATTGTGGGCCAGTCTTGGGAATCCCAGCTCCCCGTGGAGGAAGGGCAGATGTCATTTGTCAGTCGGACTCAGGGCTGTAGGAATCACAGATTAGCATTAGCATTCCCACTCTGCTCTCCTGCCTGGCTCTCCTTTGCCTGCAGAGCAACATCTCTGACCTCCTCTGCCCAGCCAGTGCTCCCTGCACCCTGCACCCTGCAGCTCCTGCAGCTCCTGCAGCTCCTGCAGCTCTTGCACCTCCTGCTCCTCCCTGCAGCTCCTGCACCTCCTGCTCCTCCCTGCAGCTCCTGCTCCTCCCTGCAGCTCCTGCACCTCCTGCTCCTCCCTGCAGCTCCTGCACCTCCTGCTCCTCCCTGCAGCTCCTGCACCTCCTGCTCCTCCTGCACCTCCTGCTCCTCCTGCACCTCCTGCTNCTCCTGCTCCTCCTGCACCTCCTGCTCCTCCTGCAGCTCCTGCACCTCCTGCTCCTCCCTGCACCTCCTGCTCCTCCTGCACCTCCTGCTCCTCCCTGCACCTCCTGCTCCTCCTGCACCTCCTGCTCCTCCCTGCAGCTCCTGCTCCTGCCCAGGCCCCCCAGCTGCCTTTCCCCACACTCCCAGAGAGGTGCTAGCTCCCAGTGCCCAGTCCCCCAGTGATTCCCTGCCTGGCCAGTGAAGGCAGGGACTGTGCAGCTCAGCAGCAGCTGTCCCTTGGAGCTGGCAGCATCTCCTCCTGCTTGCAGGGCTTCCTCATTGATCGTGCAGGGAGGAAGACACTGCTGTGGAAAAACTACACAGTGATGGCCTTGGCTCTAGGGCTCCTCACAGTCACCCTCTCACTGCAGGTAAGACCCCACTGATGCATTAGAACTGTGCCATGTTTTATTGTATGACAGATATCAGGACTGCTTCCCTCCCCACAAATCACTTTTTAGTGAATAGAAGTATTTTTGGGGCTAACCTTCATATTCATAGAGGTCTGTTCCTAGCCATGTACACATGGATTAAAGTCAGTAGCTTTACACAACCAAGATCACTGCCAAGGCTACCTCATGAAATTCCTGAAAGTAGAGGAAATAGATCTATGTTAAACATTGACATACTTAGTAGTGATGAACATTTGTAATGGAGCTAGATAAATAAAATTCTGATTTCTGATTTTATTTGCTTTTCATTTCCTACCACAGGACTCCTTTTTCTGGGTACCATACTGCTCTGTGGCACTTGTCTTTATTTTCATCATGAGCTTTGGCGTTGGGCCAGGTTGGTATTTTCTACTGGAATTGTTTCATTTATTCACTCATTCCTTCCTCACTGCAGTCTTTAGGAGAGATCCCAGCATAGCTGTTCCACAATAGACATTAATCCCTACTTCTAATTCAGGGCAGGTGCTGATATTTCCATCCAAACTATGGTAGGAGGTAAAATGAATTTCCTACTGCATTCCTACATGCCTTTTTTCTGAAGAGCCAAGCACCACTTCAGACACTTCCTGGCCACTTAAAGCCATGAACTTATGCAGCAAAATTAAGTATGAGGTACAGAAGCATCTTGCAAAATTTCTAAGCTTCCTTCTTTCTTCAATATTTTTTTCAGGTGGAGTAGTATGCCCCTTGATCACAGAAATCTTCATTCACTCATACAGACCAACTGCTTATGTTTTTAATGGTGTTACAAACTGGATCCAACTCTTTGTCCTTGGACTTGTGTTCCCTTTCCTTGTGGTAAGCAAAGTAGGGTGTTTGATTCAGTTCAGAGGAAGTTAGACCCCTCTTAAACCCAGAGCATGCTTCTCTTATCAACACATCATGCCACAGACAGAGCCCAAATTAATTGCAGTTCTGATGGTACCTTTAACCAGGTATTTACTGGAAGTGGAGCAAACCCACAAAATGCTTCTAATTCTACACAAGTTAGAGTGACATAGACAGCACAGACACAGTGACAGAGGCACCAACACTGTCAGATGTCATTTGCAGCAGGATTTATATCAACTCAGTCTCTGACCAAGCCCTATTAGTAAATACAAACCCAGAAACTCCATAACATAAGAGAAAGAAATCAAATGTTTATGAACACATTTTTCTCTTTGCTTTCCTGTAGGAAGGTCTTGGTAATTTATGTTTCATCATTTTCCTGACATACTGCCTGTCCATGGCTATTTTTGTATTCCTGGTGCTGCCAGAGACCAAAGGGAAGAGCATGCTGCAGGTCATGGAGGAGTTCAACCGCCTGAACTACCGTGGAAAGAAGGGACAGGCAGCCCTACAGCAGAGTAACTGCTCACTGGTGACTGTGACTAGGCTTTAAGAACAAAACCTCCACTTCATATTTTGTTCTTTTATTACTGGTGTGCCCAGAAGTCTCACTAAGCAAGAGAGAATCCATAGATCCACAAAAAAAAATCACCTTCAGTACAGGGTGCAGCATGAACTTGGTGGTTCTCTCCAGCTCCTGAGACACGAGCTGAATTAATTCCTCTGTAGAAAAAAAATTAACACAGTTTATAGAGAAAATAAGATCTTTGTCAGTCCCTCCAAGCTTGCAGTTGTAAACTGAAAACACAGGATCTGCTATTTTCTTGGCAAAACCAGGACTCCACAGCTGGGAGAAGTGAAGGCCCAGAGGTTCAACAAACTTGCAAAGAAGACAGAGCTCTGACACTGAAATTATGTGCTCCTATCAACAATTCAGTGCCACTGAGCTTTCCCAGAGAAGAAGCTTCAGTTGCCAGGAAAAGGAGAGTTTAGCTCTTCAGTGCAGTGGAAGGAGAGTGCCTTGCCTGTCAGCAGGCAGAATCAGTGTGCAGTGCTCCCCCCACGTTTACAATCGTGGAGATTCTTCTGTTGGGAAAGACAGGGATGTGTGAGCACTGAAAGAAAGCAATGAGCAAAGAAAGCAGAGCAGCAGGAAAACATGAGTGGGCAAATCCAGTGGGCAGATTCTCCTTTTCCATTGACAATGATTGTGTAGTGTCTCTTCAGCCTGGAGAGCACTGGGCTTCAGTGAGATTCTGCCCTGAGAGTAACTGCTCCACATAAGACAGAAAAGAGGGAATTTAATCCATATGTGTGACTGTCTGCTTTTCTTTCCAGGTCTCTGAATATTTCACATTTTCATTCTAAAACCTTTCATTTGTGTTCGTTTTTGGTCTTCTTCATGCTTTACAGTTTTCTGTAAAAAGCTGTGACTAGGGAAACACATCCTTCTGATTGTGCCTGGAATGATTTTCATTGAATGAAGAGTCAGGAGACCCCATCTTCTGGGGCAGTGTTGTGGGGGTCAAGGAATATTGTGTCTGTCCTGCTCTGGAGATGAGATCTTCACTACCAACTGATGCAGATGCTGTACAATAAATTTTGCAAAAGGATCTGAATATTGAGCAGCAGTTTCTTTCACGGCCCTAAGGCTCCTGTTATTTTATCTTCACATTGTCCTCCAGCAGTTTTTGTGGCAGTACTAAAAGCTAATGCCAGGAGCAGGGAACTTTCCCAACACAGCCATCCCTCCTATGACAATTATCATACTACCAAAAAAAAAATAAATGAAGTTTATTGTTTCAAGGCTTGAGATCATAGATTGCACAGTGCCACTTTAACAACCAACATTTCTTCTGGTTTTCTTCTGGTCAAAAATGCATGGGAAATAAAAAAAAGCATTGGAAGTGTTTTGAAAAGAAAATATTAGTTAATTTATTATTTTAAAGGTCATTATTTGGTTTGGTGTTTCTCAAACTTACTGGTTCCCAAGGAGGAAGTTTTTACTGTCTTACAAGACATTAAAAACTCATTTCCTTACACACATCTTTCTACAGCATGACTGTGTTCAACCTGCCTCACTTGTCCCCTCCTACTAAAGGCTGTCCACAAGAGGGGAAGTGTGGTAAATCATTGACACTGCCATAAATTATCATGGATTGGGAATAAAGGTTGAAGCTGTACTTGTGACTCTGCAGTTCCAGGATCCAGGATGCAACACAGGGGCATCTCTGGAAACAAAATCCCTCCACGTCCAGGGTACTGGGTGAGCTCCACACTGGGTCTGGAAAAAGAACATTTCTTGGAGGGTTCAAATCCTAGGTGGAGGGATGCATCTTGCCCTCTTCTTTAGAAAAATTAATAAAAGCTGTACTAGGCATTTAAGGCTTGCTTTTTCCATCATACAGCACTGAACAATAGCATGAGGCCAGACGAAAATGAGACAGCAGTAGAGTATTCTAGGAGGGACACAGACAGCAGGAGCAAGAGGAACAGGGCTCTGCAGGGACTGTTGGATCAGCCAGATGTTACAAACTAGCCACAGATGATGTTTAGAAACCTCTCCAGAAAGGTCCAGAGCCGCCATGTGTGTCTTTCCTTCCATCCTCAGCTCAAAGAAAAATCTTCATTTCCCCTCTAGTTCCTCCAGGCTCATCAGCTCCTTGCCCACTGAGATGTGGCATCTTGCTGTGGCACACAGTGGGTCAATTCCTCTGTTACAGACAGGCTTCTGAAGGCTCTGGAAAAACTCTGAGCCTCTCTAAAAAACTGGGTGTTAACAGGGACACGAAATGCCAATATTCCAATACTTCATTTCCTGCATCTGGGAAATTGTTCAAGCAATTATAAATCTTCCAGCAGGCAAGAAGAGGCATTATGGCTGAACTTCAATCCTAAAGGCCTGTTGTAGACTGGAGGGGGTGAAAACCTCCCCTGCCCAAGCTGCTTTTCAGAGAGGTGAAGAGGGGCTGTGCTCCACTGAAGGGGGGATGGTGGCACTGGCTGACTGCTCACACTGCAGGGACACACAGGGGTTTTAGCAGTGTGAGTAGGGGTAAATGCTCCCAATTCAAGAAGGATAAACATTTACCAGTGTTGTAATCAGCCTGTGATATCTGGGTCTCAGAATAATTAAACCAGTGAGAAGAGGCTCTGGCCAGTGTCAGGGGAGGACACAAATTGCTAAAAGCCACATAGTTAGAAATTAACTTCTGTGCTGTGATCCCAAACTCTTATAATCCCAGTGTGGAACCCATCTCTCTCATCTGGCAGACTTGACAAGGGCTCTCAGAGCAGGCAGGGTTTCAAGGGGAAATGGCTGGTTTCCTCTCAGACCTGGTGAGTATCCAAATTCTTGTGTTCTAGCCCAGGTCACTAACAGCAGTGTGGTCTTTAATTGCAGCAAAGGGAATAGTTGTTTCTTGTAATAAAAATGGGCAACAGAGCTCGGGACAACACTGGTTGAGCAATGACTGACTAAATGGCATCTGCAGAAAGTACATTAGAAATGCAAAACAGTGAGAGGTTTAAAAGAGGACATGGGAAACCAGGAGAGATGGGAATTTGGGGGAAGATACAGAACATAGTGAAAAACACAAAACACAAAAAACTCTCCCACTCTACTGCTCTACACTCTCAAGGACAATCGAGGATACTCATCAGTTTAAAGTGTGACCAGAGTAAATGCCTGAAAACATATGTGCTTGTGAGAAATGCTCTGAAATTCAGTGTATGTCATAGAAACACAGCATTTCCAATAGGACTCATTCAGATAGGGCCTCTAAAACGTCATTTCATACAGGGTTGATAAAAGTAAAATGTAAAAGAATAATAAGTTTTGAGAGGACAGACTTGAGTCATCTCTGGAAAACGGTAAACACTGTCCCTGAGAAGGCAAAGGTGAAAGCAAAAAGGGATTCAAGAAAGCTGTAGCTTCTTTCTAGTACAAAGGTAAACACAAATGATCTCAATAAGGCTTTTCTGATTTTTGTTTTCTGTGATTAGCAGAGCTAACAGAATTAGAGAATTTATCTTTTCAGATTGCTAATAACCAGGAGAGGAACACGGCAGAATGCACAGATTAGGATTTTAACAATTTAACAATGAATTTTGCTTAATTATTGTCAAATTCAAGATAGGTTTTTGCACGTTAAAGGTTTCTTAGTCGTAGGAATGTGAAGATATAAGGTCCTGTAAATGCTCTCATGGTCTGCAAGGCGTGCTGGTGTCAGGAGTTTGTTAGGATGTGTTTCATTCTCTTTGGCAGGTTCAATACCGGAGGCTATGGCTCATGATTGTGGTGCTGGGAATTGGTGGAACTCACCTCTCTGGTTTTCAAATGTCTGTGATCAATTACACTTCTCCGGTAGGCAAAGCTGCAGGAAAGAAAATCCCATCTCTAACCGTTCCTCATGTCTCAGGCCGCACACTTTGCAGATGCTTTACAAAAGCTCTTAGGTGTTGTTTTGTCACTTTATTCCCAGCTGTTTCCAGTGCCACGCTGTCACTGTCAAAGCTTGCATGATTGCAAGGAGCTGTGCTCCAAATACAACCTCCCATAGAATTTTGTGGAAACAACATTCTCAGATAAGTCCTTAAAGTTTATGCCATGGAGAAAAAGAAAGAAAACCAAAGGTAGCTGAAAGAGTCAGCCTCCTTTCCTCTTTATATCCATTACTGGCCACAAGAACATTTGCACTTCACTGTAATGGATATAAGGCCCTAATTTTTTGGTGTAGGTGAGGTAGGATTCAGCACACTAAAGAGTATAATTAATTTTTGAAAGATGCTTGTACACTATTAGGCTGTATGAGAGGAAATATCAATCCTTATTTGCAAACAAATGTTCTATAGTCACGCTTTTAGTCACGACTATTAATCGATTTTTTAAAAAAATTGTAAACATTATGAAGAACGTTACGATGAGTGCCTTGGTGGAACAGAAATCTCTTTTTTGTCCCAGTATATTCAGAAGTTTATCAATGAAACCTGGCTGGAGCGATACGGTTCTGTGCTGCCTCAGGAGACCCTGATGCTGCTGTGGTCCTTCATCGTGTCTGTGTACTGCATTGGGGGGATGATAGGGTGTCTGTGCAGCGGGTACCTGACTGCAAAATTTGGAAAGTAAGTACATTTCCTGGTGTCTCACTACCCAGAGCTGCAACAGGGGAAGCGATTAAATATTACCCAGCTAACAGAAGGGATATCAGAATTTCACTGCCCCCTGCTGCCACAGAATTTACCCAGCATGTAAAACTACACCTGGGTGCATTGCAGAGACAAGAGCATGCAGATATTTCTGATTCCCTCATCACAGTTTTTGTTGACATACAATTCCTGTATTTTTGCTGACATTTGACCCTGCAGGAGTTTCCTTCAGCCTCACACAGCGAGTAAGAGGAGTCTAGCCTTTCCCTTTCCACTCCTCTGCAAAGACATTGTGCCTTTTCATGTCCAGATTTGGTTTTCCTATCAGCAATGGGTTTAAACACGGCCATGGCTTCAGTCTGTAAACGCAGAGGAGAAGAGTCAGACATGAGCCAAGGAAGAAAAAGTGAAATACGGTTCATAGGCACGTGTTGCTCACTCTTGCAGGAAGAAATGCCTACTGCTCAATGACGTGGTGCTGATAATAGCCACGCTGCACACTGGCTTCAGCAGGAGAGCCAAGGCTTTTGAGATGATCCTGGCTGGGCGCTTCCTCGAGGGCATCGCTGCTGGTAGGACTCCACTATCCCATGGTAACGGGACTTCTTTGGGGTGGATACAGAAATCTTCCTGCTGGGAGTACCCAGGAATGAGGAATGAGCTGTAACCCAGACTGGGGCAAGGTAAGATGAGCTGTCCTTTGCCTTCAGGAGGTCTTGTAGAGAGATCTGATGGATTAGCTAAACTTAAAGTAAAAGGTACATTTTTAGCCCATTTTCAGCAGAGAAAGGGTTCAGAAGAGGGAGGAGAGAGCCGAAAGGGAACTGAGAAGGGACCCTCTCTCTTTCCACAGCTTTAGCACTCTCCTGTCTTCTCCCTTTAGGAATACATATGAATGCCCATGTTCAGTATGCTGGAGAGATCTCACCTAAGAAGCTGCGTGGATTTATAAATGTCACCTCCACTGTGTTTCTTGCACTAGGAAAAACTGTAGCAAGAATTCTTGGATTAAGGTGCTTGTGTTACTCCTTCTCAGCCTGTTTTATATTTATTTTTCTTCTATATAGAAGGGAAGTGGTGTTCTCCCAGTCCTAGAAACAGACATACACCAAAGGTAGGGGTTTATTTTGCTCAACTACAGCAGTCAAAAAGGAGGCATCTACCCTACACAAGTCACTGAGCTTTCCATGTCACTCCCTGGGGAGAGAAAGGCTTTCCTCTTGAGAGAGGATGGCTCTGTCTGGAGGTGCAGTCTCTCTGCTGAAGTTAATAAAAAAACATTGTATGTAAATACTCTTAGTAAATTTATGAGATCCAAACGTTTTGCTAATTTCCTGATAACCTCATGCAGAGTTGCAATGTTGTTTCAGAGAGCTGTTGTGGGAATATTCTGACCTTCAGAAATTAAAAGTCTAAGAAAAATGTCAGTCATGCAGAAGAAATAAAGTATTAGTCCAATAAAATAAAATATTAGTCTATTTTCCTATTGCTAACCTAATCATCTATTTCAATGGAACTTTTCAATGACTGTATGTATTTTGTGTCTCTTTAGCTAGCCTAGAATTAGGAATTACCAATTTAGTTACAAACTGTAATTTTCTGGACTATTAATAGATTCTAACATGCTTTCATAGAGATCTTTTAGGAACTGAAGACATGTGGAATGTGCTATTGTCCTTCTCTGGGTTGGTGGCATTGATTCAACTGCTCTTTTTGCCATTCTTTCCTGAGTCCCCACCCTACCTCTTGATGCAAAAAGAAGACAAAGCTGGTTGCTTGAAAGGTAAAATAAAACTTTAGATCCTTAGTTTGTTAAATCATATTTCTTGGGAAAGTGAAGCTAACAGCAGGAATTGGCTTTTCTATTAGCCAGCTACAGATTTCTTGATAATTACATGATAAAAGTCCTCCAGATCAAGCAGAGTCACCAGAGACATTTAAGATCTACCCCTAGCAGCTACAGCATTTTCCAGGGAAGTTTCACCATGTTCCAGTAAGTGATGCTCTTTCCAGTCCTTTGCTCAGTAATTGATGAATCAAAGCATGGACTCAACTGCAAATGTTCAGTGTCATTAAAAGTTGAAAACCACAGAATTATGAGTGGATCAAATGATGGAGCAGTATACTTCATTCTGTCTCTTCTGTAGCCATGAAGCAACTCTGGGGAGAAGGGAATTATCACACAGAATTTGATGACTTGATGAAGGAAAAGGCTATGACAAAAGGCACCAAAATCATGAATGTCCTAGAGGTGCTGAGAGAACGCTCAGTGTACCCACAGCTGTGTACCATGCTCCTCCTTTTGCTGAGTCTGCAGCTCTGTGGCCTCAGTGCAGTTGAGTATGCCCTATTTCCATGCTTGGATCTGCTATTAAGTCTCCAAAGTGCCACAATGCCGACTGGTCCCTTTCCTCTGGGTCTACATTATTCCTCCTCACACAGAGCCCACTGCCTGACACCAGTGGTATCACCCCCAGGATTGTTCATAACTTTTAGGGAGTTTCTCAGGTGGGAATACAAGAACTCCAGCTCAGCCTCAGTTCCTGCAAGGGCACTGTTGCCTTCATTGCCCTGGCAGCACCACCAAGGAATCTGTAAAGGAAAGGGTTACAAGCATCCTGAGGCTTACAACAACCCAGTACCACTTTCTTTGACTTCTGCAGCAGCAGATGGCCACCTATTGCCACCCAGCTTCATTTCATTTGAGAAAGGACATTTTCCCATCCTTTCAGCTCTTCCCACGTAGAGCTGGCTGAGCCCAGTGCAGCCCAGGTTGGCAGACATTCCCCTCCATGTTAGCACTTGTCTGGGGGTCTCCCCCATAAGCCCTGGTGCAGCCTGTGCTGGATGGAGGTGGTTCATTCCAGCTGCCAGCAATGGAATTCCCTCTGCACTCTGCTGGCAGGAAAATGGTGCCCATTCCCTCAGGGACTCTGCAGATGAGCAGCTTCTGTTTAGCAACTGGAAAAGGGCAACAGAATCAATTGTTTGCTTGACAATGTATGGTGTGCTGAGACTGAGATTTGCTTTTGTGTCTCTTGTCTTGACCCTTTCCTTTTCCTTTTTGCCAAAATTATACCTTTTCCCCATGTCTTGCAGGCAACTTTCAACTGCTTTTTTTTTTTTCCTTTCTTTTTTCCCCTTACAAATCCTTTTCCTTTATTGCCATTAACCTTTTGATTTCTCACATCTGGAGCAGCTATGTTACCTCTACTATGGCCCAATATTGTATTGCTGGTTTTGCAGTGATGACAAATCTAGTTCTAAGTGATGCTGGATAAGCACATGTCACATCTATTAACTGTGCTTTATTTTTCTTATTTCCCAGATCACCTTCTACACCTCAGAAATTTTTTTGACAGCCAACCTGCCGGAAAACATAATCCCATATGTATCTCTAGGAGTTTCAATCTCTGAACTCATCTCCATCGTGTTCTGTGTAAGTCAGAGCTTCCTGGGGATTTTAAGAATTCAAGTATTATTTCTTGAAGCAAATGAATCTTCTCTTTATGAAGCAAAGAATTTTTCTGTGGTGCTGCATAAATCCGTACAGTGGTTGTTACCATCCACTGCAAATTTTGTCCCAACTTTCATGTTTTGTCCCATCTTCATTCATCTTAATTTCTTATAAGAACCTCTTATGAAGTGTCATTCAAACAAAAATATGTGTACTCATTTCCATATATTTATCTATATCTATACATTCAAATGGAGCTGCTAGGTGCTTCTGTTGATTACAGTGTTTAAGAAGTGGGCAGTGATGGTAATTCTTAGCGTAGAGTCTAGAAGGAATTCAATAAAACAACAAAGTTGGTGCCAATAAGATTTGTGTTCTCTGAAGCAAAAAGAACTCAAGGAGAATGCTTGATTAGATGGATGGCTCACAGTTGGATTTTGCCATGTTTCCAGCAATGTCCCTTTTTTCTGTTCCTCAGAGCTCCATAATCGATCGGTTTGGGCGCCGAAAGCTCCTGTGTGGTGGTTATTTCCTGATGGCACTGATACTGGTGTTGCTTGAAACAAGCCTTCTGCTGAGTGTAAGCAAATGCCTCTCTGGGAGTGGGCCTGCATCAGAATTCTCTAGGCAGGACAGCAGAGTCAGCCTTAGCTTTCCTGCCCAAACCAGCAGGTCAGAATGGCTTCTAAGCACAAGCTCACATCTGTAGATGTGACACCGTGAGCTGTCCTGGCCTTCCACTGTGTTCAGTAAAGAAAGATAAGCAGGCCTGGAAAGCATCTCTTACCCAGCTTAGCATCATGGGCTTTTTCACAAATATTGCTGTTCCTGTGCTTGGATCAGATGTGTTACAGCTATAAAATTAATTTTCCTTCTCTTCCCTCCCTTCACTTTGTCTAGGATCAGTTCCTCTGGCTGCGTTACTGCAGTGTTATTCTCATCTTTTTATTCATCATTGCTTATGGACTAGGACCAGGTGAGTACCACAGCAGAAGCAACAGGAAGGCTCAGACCACAGGGAAAAGTGTAGGCCATGAATGTATAGAAGTGGAACTAGAATGTTTGAGTATATCTTTGAAAATTAGCAGCTTAATTAAGACTGAGATTGAGGGAATCTCGATTTTTGATGAATTAATTATCCAAGAAACAATTTATTTAACAAAATATATTAAATCATTCACAGATGAATCAGGACCCTGTTTTCTCTCATTGGATTACAGGTTCAAACCGAATAAATTCTTGTTAATCAATTCATGAAGCCTTGTTTTGCAGGGTGTGATTACTGTTCAGTGCATACAGGTTCAGATGGCTGATCTCTGTCAAAGGGCAGAGTTTTCTCAACTTACCTGTAAAATCCTACTGTATGAAAGACTGACACCTGACAGCATGCATGATCTGTCTCTTAGCACTGCTCTGTCCTTGCTTGTCCTCTCTTAATAGCACCCTTCAACACCTACACCAGTAACACCAGTCCCAAACTTACAGCTCTCTGCTGGAACCCCACTCACCTAAGACCAGGGTTTACTCCAGAAGTTCTCTGACTAAACACAACCAGTAGTTACTAAAGTCTCCAAATTCAAATGTCATCCTTTAGTACTGTGAGGGTTGTACCTGACACCCATGAATGTCTTGAGAACACAACAGAATTCCCACAGTAGCGAAGCTGAGGTGTCTTCTATGGGAAATGCTCAATTACAACGTTTCTATCACTTTTTTATATGTTTTTTTTCCCCCTCAGCTGGAGTTGTTATAGCTGTCATGAATGAAATCTTCACCCTGTCAACAAGGGCCTCCGCTTTTGTAATTGGTGGAATCGTCATTTGGCTGGGCCTCACCTTCACTGGAATGATTTTCCCCTTTGCTGTAGTATGTAATTTGATTCAAATCTTCTCTCTGACTCTGTCACTTTAATATGGAATTCTAGGCTGATCTCGACAGGGAGTAGGATGAAATGACTTGTAGATGATCAAAACTGTGAATCCCTCATTGCTATGGCATATGGAGGCCATTTCTATAAAACATTTCCCAATATTTCAGATAACAACTGCTGCCCCAAGAACAGATTGAAAAGATAAATATTGTTTCTGTAAAATGAGCTTATTCCTTATTTCACAGGAACAAATCAACAAGTTTCAAGAATCTATAGGGCAAGTGCTGCCAAGGATATCACTCATCTTGTTCTATTTTTTATCTCCAGATGCTTCTTGGTCCTTTCTGCTTCCTCATCTTTATTGCTGTCCTGCTCATTTCAGTCGTTCTTATCTACCTGTTCCTCCCAGAAACAAAAGGGAAGTCAGCCTCTGAAATCACAGAAAAATTCCAAACCTGCCAGTTTAAGAGGAAAAAACGTCATCAGGCTGTGGAGATGTATGCTGCTGAAGAAAAGACATTCTGCACCAAGCTCTGAGAAGCCACCATAAGTAATTTCCACTGTTCAGGCATAACACATCAATTGCATTACACGTTTTTCTCCATTGCTGTCATTTTAAAGCAGCAAGATTTGTGTCTATGTTACTTTATAAGAAAGTTCTGTGCAGGATTAAGAGCAGGATGAAGATAGGATTAAACATAGCCATAGTTCTTGCAAACAATTTCATGTTATTTCTTTATGCTATCACACTGTAAAGGACTTAATATTGATTGGGAAAGCTGCACATGAACAAATAGCAGGCAGAACGCAAGGAAATCTTGTATTTCCTTGAGCTGACATCAAGTAACTGTATGTCCTGATTGTGTCTGTGACTGTCAGGGATCAGCCCTGACCCCCAGGCATTTGGTACAGAAGAATTCTCACTGGCATCCTCTGGAGCAAACTGACTGCACTGGCCATGCAGATCAGTTGTAGCAAAATCGGGAGGAAGTTCTTGTAATATATTCTGGTACCTCATGGATGGCTCAAGGGTTAATAAATACACAGTGCTGGGAGCTGGAAGAAAAGAGGCCTGGAGAGAGAACTGAGAGAGTAGGCAGCCTGAAAATTCAGCCCATTTTGTAAAAAAAATAACTGCCCGAAAAGCAAGAAGTTGTGATGGCCAGTACCTGCTAGCTGTGTGCTGCTCTAGGACACAATGCACAGCAGCACACAATCCTGCATTTCACTGCTGCACTGTGTGCACTGTGCTGCTCCAGGGCTGCCAGTCCTGCTGCCACTGCAGCACCCAATCCCTCCCTGTGGGAGCTGAGCACAGACTACTGTGGATTTAATCAGCATTTGCAGTTTGATATCCAAGGTGCCTTGGCAAGAGCAAACAGAGCTTTGACCATTATAAGAAGATTGGATGAAGACAGGAAAGAAGATAGAATTAAGTAGAAACGTAAAGTTTGTCTGTGAATGAATGTAGTAAATGAATGTAGTAAAAAATTACTAGCCTTCCTAAAAATGTGTAACTCACAGTAAAACTGGATTCTGATCACCAGTCTGCAGTCCCTGTCTCTCTCTCAATTGTCAGTTCTTTCCTCCCCAAACTCTTCTACCTTTGGATGATGAATTATTTTTCCTTTTCCTACCATGATTACAAATGGAATTTCATGCCTCCTCTTTAGCAGGACTATAATTCCTTTCTTTCTGCAGTTTAACCATTCTTATTTATTGCCATTGTGCTGAGGTCTGAATTGAGTTTTAGGTTGTTTAGGGAGTTTTCTATTAAAAAAATTACAAATAATATACTCACTGCTTCTAAAGGAATAACCACAGAAGAAGCTCTGATATTAAAGTGCCAGTGTGTGTTCCAGCAATTGAAACTTGATTTAGATTTTAGATCATTCCCTTTATCACTGCCTGTATCACCACAGGGAGCACTCACAATACTGAATGTTCCCATTCAGAGGCCCCTCTCCTGTTGAGGCACTGAAATATTTAATCCACCCATTTTAAGCGTTGTCCAATTGCTACAAAAAACATAAATCAACAGAAATCATACGAAGTAAACATTAACCTCAGCCTCAGAGTAGGATGGTTACTTAAGCTGAAGGTGCAGAAGTGGCATGGGAGAAAACATGGCTGAGGAAACTTGCTCAGAGTTCTGTCTGCCTGGGATCAGCCACGACCCTGACAGAGATGGACGAGCTCCCTCCAGAAGGGGTGAGTACTGCAGCTGGCAGCATTAACTTTCAGAACTGAGATGTTGCCTGCTGCAATTGCCATTCCTAAAGATAATGCATTACATATTTACCAAACTTTTTTTTCCAAGATAATAGGGTAGGCAAGGGATAATCCTTTAAAATTAAAGCTAACATTAAAAAAAAACAACAAAAGACACAGACTTAGCATTCTGGGATAAATCATCATGGAAACTTTGAAGGAAGTTCCAGGTGGTTAGAAAAACTAATTTTAAAATATTAGAAATTAAATTCCTATACTTCTTAGGTATGGTGAGGTATTTCTGTACCATTTTTACCTGTTTGCTTCCCTGTCCAAGTGTGACACTATCAGGCTACTCTCCTAGCTGGTAGAGTGATAATGTGATGGAATGGTATATTTGAAAATAAAGATTTTGTGGATGGTTTAGTTAATGTGAAAAAGAGCAGCAAAACTGAAATTTTAGAACCTTTATCTGGCTGATCATTTTTTTGCATTTATGCTTTGCATGTTCTGCTGAGATGGTTTAAGCATTAGCAAACAAGCCAATATCCTAGAAAAGCAGGGACTGTGATATCACAGCTTCTTGTGTGATGAGCTTGTGCTGTTCCTTGCATGTTCAGCACCAGGATTGGCTGTAATGCTCTTTGTGTTGGGAACTGGTGGATCCCTCACAAGTCCCTTTCCCAAAACCTCTGTGAACAAATCTTCCTCCATGATAAGAAAAGCAGATAGAGCATCTTCAGTAGTCATTGATGGTGGGGTCAAAATGTAAAGGATGCGTCCCAAATCAAATTGCAAATTTTTTTCCATGGACTTTTCATTCCCAGCTCTTTCCACCCGCTCCTCTTTGCAGAAGGAAAGGGTCAGAGCTCCCCTACAGCTGCCTGTGAGCAGGCATGCTCAGGTAACAAACACATCAGTCTCTGCACTCGGGTGTAGCTGCCATGCCCCCTTCCCTGTGCCCTCTCTGACAGCGCAGCTTGCAGTGTTTAAAGGGGAATTTCTAATGCCTGTGTCTCCTGTGTGACAGCCAGAGCAGCATGAGGCCAGAGGGATTACAAATGTCACATTTCTCTTCTTCCATGCTGCTCTTTGCCTCTCTGCCCGGGGCTAACAGTGAAATGCAATTGCAGGTGGCAGTGTCTCTCACCTGTGCCGAGCAGACATTCAGCCAGAGAGCTGCTAACTCAACAGACAGCTGGAGAAATACCCATCGGGATCAGGGCTCACTGCTGGCACTGTACCAGACCAGGGGTGTGTTCTGCTGGGGTAACTTCCACTTGCATGAGCCTCAGCTCCTTCTCTGTGCTTTCACTCCCTGTGCTGGTCCTTTTGCAGGAGCTGGTCTGAGCAGGAGCAGAGCTGGAGCACTGCAGAGGGACAGCTCATCCTGTCACACAGCACCATGGCTGCTTTGAAAGCAGGGGCCTTGCATTGCTCTGTCCCTCTCTCATCAAGTCCAGCTCTGCTGGCTCTTCTATGGCTCCAGTGTCTCCTGCAAGAAGCCAGGTTGCTTTGCTGGGCACCTCCTCTGCTTCATGGCTCAATGAACCTTTCCATCTCAAGTATTCATCCCCCCAAACCACACCAATCCAAAGTGCCAGACCTCAGGAAGCCTGCTCTCCCAAACACTCACTATTGCTGCAACTCTTGCAGTTACTGAGAAACCCAAGAGCAGATCATTAACCTGCCAATATTAATGTTTGAGAGTTGTTCTAATCCTATTCCAAGGCCTTTCTCTCATACTCCTGCAAGCAACATCTCAAATTATATTGACTACTCACCCTTCCTATCTTGCCTTCAGGAAAGAAGAAAATTTTAATTATTTTATTTCTATTGCTGTTTCACACCTAAAGAATGGAGTGTATCATGTCACAGTAACCAAACAAACAGGATTTCATGAAGTTAAACTTTGCCTTCATTGCCATCATTTTGTCATCATGTTCAAAATGCTGTAAAAAGAGGAGCAAAAAAATAAAATGAAATTTTCTTTCTCTGATTTATTTCGAGGGAAACCTCATCACTTTCTGCCTGCTTATCTTTACTGAGATCCTCATCAGCTCAACATCTTCCTCCTCCCTCTTCCTTCCAATGACAAAGAGAAAAATTGTAATGAAAATAACCAAAGAATTTGGCACATTAGATTTTAAGAAGAGACCTCACTCCTTTGCAGGAAATAATTCTCTTGAGTAAGCACCACCTACACCAACTGGTCAGCAGAAAACCATATATTAAGATCATAAAAGACACTGATGCTTGCAGAATGCAAAACAAAGGCAAATTATTGTTTTCTAATATGGGAAAAGATATTTTTTTCACAGACACAAGTGGAATCTTCACGAATGAGTCGCTCTCATATCGCCTTGAAAATGTGCTATGAGCAGTCAGCAATCAACGAGTCATTGTAACATAAAATATGTGCTATGTTAAAGTCTTAGATTTCACTTAAAACCTGTTTTGTACCTAAACATTTTCTTTAGTTCCATTCCCCATGATTTCGTTATTCAGAATTTCATTTTGAGTTTTGGATTATAACAAACCTAAATCAAATCTAAAAGAAACCACAGAGTTTCTCTCAGTGCAGAATTCAACTGCAGATGGCTTCATTCATCCACAATGAGAGGTTTAGTGTGGCTCAAGCTGGCTCAGAACCAAGCCTGATTTTCAGCTCTTTCCACAAAACTCTTTGACACACCTCATGAAGGTGGGGTTCATATGTTTGTCCATTTCGCAGCAAGCATTTCTTACAGCTCTATTAAAAAAAAATAATTACAAGATCTCTTTAACTCAGTAATAATTCTTTAAACATAAAACTGTGCACAACTTCCAGTGTAGCAGCTTTTTCAAGAATACAGGTGACATTTTCAACAGAAATGGTCACTTTCATTGACTTGAAAAAATCCTAAAGTATGTTCCTAGAATGAAATTCTCCTAAAATTGCTAATAAGGTGAAATAGTACCATGGCTCAGAATCACCAGGAATCCCTCAAAATGCAAAATAATTTTTTTTAAAACAAGAGCCAAGAGATATGTAAATAGTTACTATGTAAGTGTTCAAGAGAAAATACAAAAAGGGCCAAATCATTCTAAACACTATTGCCAGCCAGGATAAACAGCATTTGCTAGGCAATTAAACAGACAATAGTTGGAATTACACAAGTAACCAAGGTTTTAACATTAACATGCCCTTTTTTTTTTTTTTTTTTAAGATTTAGACTCACAGGATTTGCAGTGAACCTCTCTGTAAATAATTGCATTCTGTGTTCTATACACTGAAAACACCAGTCCTGAGGGTGAGCTCGAGCATTTGCTGAGGGGCTCAGTACAACCCCATTGCCCCATCTGCCCCCACCAGGACAATCCCCTGGCATGGGGAGAATGAGAAAAGGCTTTGGAGGCAAGAGGAGCACAGGGCATCAAGCACACATGAAAGCCCCAGGAAAACCAACCCCTTTTTCCATGTGCTGGCTCCAGTGGAAGCCACACAGAGTTCCAGTTTGATTCCTCTGGGAATCAAAGGTGATTTTTCAATGATTTTTCAATTGTACAAAAAATAATCAACACCGATTTTGGAGCCATTCTGTGTCAAAGCTGAAACTTGAGGCAGTGAGATCCCAGTGGTCCTATCCCAATTCATTAGGGCATATTTTACCTTCTCTGACAACTTTCATGAGCCTCAATCTTTTACTGCTTTTTCACCACACCTGGTGGACAAACATCCCCATAAACACTAGACAGCAAATACTCTTCCTCAGCACATTCTAACTGATTCATAAGGCCTGAACAGCAAAATTAGGCTCTGAAATCTGCCTATTTTTCTTCTAATTAGGATATTTACTTTATCAAAGAATCTGAAACAGAACACCACATACTTTACTTATTAATAAATAACAATAGCTAAACCTTGTACCAGCTGTTTTTTGCTTTCTGCAGATTATGGCAGATATACAGGCTAGTCTGTATCATAGAAGTTAAACATTTTACTACTCCTGGAAAACTATTTGGATTGTTTTTCCTGAACTCTTCTAGTTTCCCTTCCCAAAGCCCTCACTGGTCCCCAGATGCAGATTTTCTCTGCTTTGAAACTTTCCCCCTGAAGACTGGACTAGATGTAATTATTTCCTGAAATATTTAATCCAGCAGTGTTGACTTTGGCCAATCGAAGTAAATGTGAGTGAAGATGAAATAGTAAAAATTTAACTCTGATGCCTGAAGCCAAATGCCCAGTGCTGTAGCAGTGGCAGAAGACAGAGAGACAAAGCCTGTGATGACCAGGACACATCACACGCTGGACAGCCAGTCCTCAGGCAGTCATGACGGGTTTCCTATCAAACCTGGTAAGTACTTGCTGGGGTATTTACATCTGGGATATTTTCGTGTGCTGCTTGGGCTTCAAAGAAAATAAATTCAGTGTCTTAGTAAGAACAAGGCTCCTGTTCACTGAGAGTCTCTTGGAAGTGGTTCTGCTCACTGTTTTGAGGTATGACAGCACTTCATATGCTCTGCCATCCATCTTTAACATATTTTTATCACTATGTTAACGTGTCTTAAATGTTTTCATGGATTGGAACATATTTGCTTATCTAGAAACATAATTTGCTTTGCTTGCCTGATAAAAAAAAAGTGCTTTGTTAAATACATCTAATTATTTCGATCAAGACAAGGCAGACAGAGGTTTTGAGAGGCAGGGAACAGGACTGGATGCAGCCATGGTGCCTTGACAAGGATGCTTGTGGAAGCTGCACTTCCTTGAGCTGGATGTAGGGAAATCACAGGAGGATGTACATCTCACACCAGGGCAAGCAGAGGGAACGTTCCTACCTGAAAATCCCCTGAACAAATGAGATGTTTCTGGTGAATGAAAGACAGATTGTGAGAACAGCCTGAATTGGTTACAACCTTAAGAAGATTTTGTTCTGCTTCTGCAGGTGCAGTACCAGGGGCTCTTTCAAATGATCACTGTCCTGGGGATTGGTGGCACATTCCAAATCGGCTTTCAAATTTCTAGCATCACCTACATGTCTCAGGTAGGCAAAGATGCACGTGGTACACGGGTTAATGAGAGCACTGAGTCTCTATTGCTGCCTGAGGCTGCTCCTCTGCCATCCAGAAAGGGTTTAATCATAATATTCTCCTCTCATTTCCCACTTGCTATCACAAAGAGCAGAGCATGTCAAAGTGTTGCAAACAGAAGAGGAGAGATCTGCAAGTTGTAGTTAATAGAACTGTTCCTCAGAAGACACATATTAACTAGGGTGGCATCTGTCTCCCCTAGAATCTCATAGCACATGTGCCTTCTTCAGTGGTTTCAGATTATTTTTTATGGTTATCCATATTGACAGAAAAATAAGTGAAAAATAAGAAAAACAAGTGAGCCATGCTCTAGGGAAATGTCTGCCTCTCTCCACTGATCCCAGCTAAAACTTCCACTGAGGACACTGAAGTCCAGAGGGAAGACATTATTATTTTGTAAACATCACCTTAGTGGAAAAGCATTATTTTCTGGCTTCAGAGCACTAAGTTCTGGGTGAAAAAGTATTCAGGAATTGCACTGAACAGGATCTGTGTAATGTGACATTCTTGGCAGGTATGTGAGAGAAAACCCATAACTCATGTGCAGAACTTTGTAGTATTGTTTACACTATTCTTTAGTACCAGTCCATGCCTTGCTTCCTCGGATTCCAAGGATAAAAACCCCAGGGACTTACCTTGTAATGGCAGAATGAGCACAGCACATCTGTTAACTAATACACATTTTTAAAGCCTACGTGAAGTAATTCCTTCAGCTGAAACAACAAAACTATTTCGTGAATACAATAAAATACCTGCACTGCTGTCACAGGTGTTGTTAATGAACTTTTTTTCTGTCTCAGCATGTTAAGGCTTTCATTAATGAAACCTGGCTGGAGCGCTATGGCTATCCCATCCAACAGGACAAGCTCCTCTTCCTGTGGTCCATCACTGTGTCCGTCTTTGGTATAGGAGGGCTCCTGGGCTCTTCGGGAAGCAGATACCTCACTGTTAAATTCGGCAAGTATGTATGTTTAAAGATAATTTGTCAATTGAATCTTAGCTTGAGGAAATGATAGTTAAGGTTTTAAAAGAGACAGACTTTTAGACTCGGTCATGGCTGTAGCACAGCCAGCTTAGCTGATTTTCCTGCTTGCTGCCCATGTGCTGTGCTGTCAGCCTGTCCCAGCAGGCACAGCTCCTCAGATTGGCTTCATCTCAGCAATAAGGAAAGGCAGCACCTGGCTGAAGTGAGATTGGGTTCTTGAAAGTGCTACTCAGAGTACAGAAGCATTGAGATCCTTGTTGATGCTGCAATAATGTGTTTCACAGGGCATGGGAAAAGCTTTCAGACTTTATTACACAGTCCAGAAGTGTTCCCAAACTCCCAGGTGCAGCCACGTGCCAAGGCACATCATGAGTCCAAAGCACCCAGTGCTGATTTTGTCCAGAACCACATATGTGTCATTTCAAGAAAACTATCAAGACAACTTCAGCCAATGCATGGCATTAAATGCCATTTCCCTTTGAAGTCATAAAAAAAAAAATCTTTTCATTTTCTTGCACTTACAGAAAGAAATGCCTCTTGTGCAACAACGTGCTGATGATAGTGGCAGCGTCTGTGATGGGCTGCAGTAAAATATCCCAGTCCTTCGAGATGATTCTGATAGGACGCTTCATGTGTGGAGTCAGTGCAGGTGAGTGACTTCTCCTACAGGTGACTGGGAGATTTCAGCAGAATCTCACAAAATTTTGCATCTTTTTAAAAAATAAATAGTAAGGCTACACTAAGAAAACAAAATGTTGTAGTCGGTGATCTTTTGTAAGAAGATTTCCTCTAACGTGCTGCAATAAAGAGCATAATTATTATTAATTTCACTAATACCAAATGAAACTCAGCTTTGCCAAGTGTATGAATATTCAGAGATGTCAGAAATGTTTTGATACCACATGAAACAAGGGATTTTCTAAAGGAAAATTATGTATAATATTTTCTTGAATTCAGCTAGCAGTACTGAGAAAAATACAGTTTAAAGCTAGTATTTTCATAAGGAGGAGCATTCCAAGAAGTAAGTCCTTGGGGTTAGTACAAAGATCTGGGCTTAATAAAGCAAAATCACTCCTGGCATGTAGACTACAGGCAGTAAAAACATGCTATGCTGCTATCAGTATTTTTTTGTATTTTTTCCTTACACAAATCTTGCCTTTCTATTGTTTACATATTCACAGGGATGCCTCTTTTAACTTATTGAAGAGTTAGCTTAGAAGTTAATGTTTGTTTTTCAAATAATCAGATTTTGTACATTACTTCTCTGACATACAGGTGTGTTGAAGAGCTAAGGTTGTAATTTGAGAACAGTTTACCCACAGGGCCTTGCTCTGGTCTAGAATCCGTATCATGCCTCTTTCAGAAACCTGATTTTTGTTAAAGAGACTGTTATCAAAAGAGATTGCTTTGCCATCACATCCAGCCAAGAGAAGAATATGTTGCATTTGAAACAGATAAAATGGGCTGTGACCACCATATCAGGAAAAAGCTTCTGTTCCCAGACTAGTATTTGCATGTCTGAGTTAACAGATATAACTGGAAACATCAGCTCTGCCTGAAATCATAAAAATTGATACTGGATGGCAGAAAAGAAATATCCATGTCTCCACCTAAATCAGATGCAAATCCACATTGACCATAGCACTGTATGTGGTAATTTGCCATAAATCTGCCATACCATGTCTTCAATAGCATAATGTCAGAGAAGGTTGAGATTCTGTGGGTTAACTACAAGCATATTAAATACTGCTAAAAAGTATTTAGTTATTCAGCACTTGCATACCCTGTGTCCTTTAAAACATGTTCAGGCTCACAGGAGATCTTATGATGAGGCTCACCTACACTTTAGAGGGAGAACTTTACATTTCTTAAAATCAGGAAACTGCACTCTGCAAAGGTGACCAATACTTTTGTAGAAGGAGTTAAAAAATCTAATACTAAAAGTCTCATATGTGAGTTATGTGCCAGAGACAGCTGCATTCTGTAATATTTCATTATTTACTTCTAGATTTATGTCCAATGGTTATGGCTTCTTTTTTTCTCTCCCATAATTCCCTCTCCACCTCTAGGTCTTTGTGTTCCTCTACATCACCAATATGTTGGAGAAATTTCCCCTAAGAAGTTACGTGGATTTGCAAACTCTACTTCCTCTTTCTTTTGGTCGTTGGGAAAAGCCGTAGGACAAATTACAGGACAAAGGTATAATGCAATTGATTATCCCCACAATTCATTTCTGGATCCTTTCCACTCTTCCTCTGCTTTTCCATCCATTCCTTTCTCTCCTCAAAGCCAATGCAATGAGCTGTTACCCTAACACACATTTCCTCCCTGCCAGGGAGCTGCTGGGCAGCCAGGCACTGTGGCCCATGCTGATGGCCTCCTGTGGACTCCCAGCACTGGTCCAGCTGGTCACACTTCCCTTCTTCCCAGAGTCCCCATCGTATCTCCTCATGCATAAAGGAGACCAGGAAGGCTGCAAAAAAGGTAACTGAGGGCTTCAGGTTCCTGTTCCTCATTTGGCTTAGAACCATTTTGTGATGCTTGTTTTCCCCATATGGAAATAAAGAAATAGGACAAAGTTTCTCCCAGCTCATTTCCCACGAGGCTCTGTGAATACTTACTGAATCCATTATTGTTGTAGTGCCCACATAGAACACAAAACTACTTCCCTCTACAGCTCTGTATTACAAAACCTTTCTCATTTGTCTGACATCACCTGCACTGTCAGTCTGATGATTAATACTAAATGAAAAATGAAAAATAGCTGTTTGCACTGCAGGGCTCCACTGGGCACCCCCGATCTCTGGTTATTGGCTGTGTACCCTGCTCACACCCCGAGAGAAGGAGGAAGGCTGAAAGGTGGCCCCATGGGCAGAGAGTGCACCTTGTGCACCCACAGCTCCCGCTGTGCAGGAGGGGATCAGGGCTCTGGAACACCCCATAAGACATCTCTGGCTCTCAGCACACACAGGCTGGGCTGCCAGACTCTTGTATCACCTGCTCAGAAACTTCTCAGGGAATAAACAGAGATGAATTAACATGGCAGGTCTCGCTCTCCTTCTTCACAGCCATAAGGCAGCTTTGGGGTGAAGGCCAACACCAAGCAGAAATTGATGACCTCATGAAAGAGAAGGCAACAATGAAAAACACCAAGATCTTGAGTGTCCTGGACCTAGTGAAAGAACCAGCTTTCCGTTGGCAGCTGTACATGACAGTTACTCTGACCGCCACAATTCAGCTATGTGGCATCAATGCAGTTGAGTGTATTTCCCCCTTCAAGTCCCAAGAGATCACAGCTCACAGGAGCGTCCTCCATTGTTCCCAGGCTTCCCAGATCAAACCTTGCTGTCTGCCAGCCCTTCTAGAGGACAGCAGCAGCCACAAAGCTTGGCTGGGCTCTGTGTGACATCCCTCAGCCCAGCTCTTGGTCCCTGCTGGAGTTACCTGTCTCTGTAGTTAGGCTCATGGAGCTGCCACCTTTGGGAGCCACTGCAGAGCTCCAGAGCTCACTCTTAGGAATGAGCCCACTCTCTACTGGCAAAATCTGTGGGTTTATGTGGCTGCTCACTGCAGCTGCTGCTATTTCTCCCCTGGCTCTCAGCACCCTGAGATGTTGGGATGGCAGTCTGCTCACTCTGCCCTCAAAGCTAACAAGCAGCATGCTCCCTGTTCTGCAGCCCCTGCAGCTCTGCTTTCCTCACAGCGCTGCTTTTCCTGGCATCCTCCTGAACCCACAGCTTTGCAATTGCCTGCACCACCCTCCTACCTCTAACACCACCATGCAGCAGCATCTGCTAAGGAAATACACAGCTGAACATAACACAGCTTAAACTGGATTCTTTATCACCTCAGCATATCTCTCTCCAAGCAGAGAGACTTGAAAAGATGTTTAGTTTATCCCCTCATGACTCCATAACCCACGCTCTTCTTTCTTGGGAATATCCTACAGTATTGTTTTTGGATGGGCTCTGAAAACAAGATACACCTGGCTGTTTCTGAAAGCACCCAAATCAGGAGTCTGCAAAACTAATTGCATTGTAGCAATTGGAGGTCCAATTATACCAGCAATTTATCTTTTATCAAATTAATTAATGAATTAATTATATAACGTTTCATAATATTTTTGTTTGTTGATAAACAAAACAAAAGAGTGCAGAATTCCAGCTCACCCCAAAGCTGAGCTGCGTGCTCTCTGATTAGCAGCTCATATCTAGGGGAGTGTCATGCAAGTTTGGGTAAGAAATCAGTTATTTTCTTCTCTTAATGTTTGATTTTTTTTTTTCCAGATTTATTTTTATACTTTTGAAGTCCTTCAGGCAGCTGGCTTTGATGAAAGAATGGCCTCCTATATGACCCTCTCTATTGGACTCTCTGAACTGGTAGCTGCTGTAGTCTGTGTAAGTCACATTACCAGGGGAGTGGGGCACACTTTGCTGTCCAGCACTGACACTGATGTGATTTCTGTCCTTCAGAGCTCCATCATTGAGCGACTGGGCAGGAAAATGCTCATAAGAGGAGGCTACTGGATCATGGGTTCACTGCTAGCTGCTCTCACTGTGACTCTGTCCCTCCAGGTAAGGAAATTCTGCTCCCAGCAGCTCTCTGCCTGTTCTATTTGTGATCTACAGCTCACTGGCAGGACCATGCTGCTGAGAAAGGAAAGTGAGGCTTAGATCCAGCTTGTCTATATGTAGGATTAAACTCTCTCTTAGCCAGTCACCTCTTGTACTCCTGCCTTCCTTTCAACATCATCCCATGACCTTAGCATGGCACACATGAAACACGGGGAGAGGGGCTCCTGACTTCATCAGGCTGCAAACACCAGGCACCAGCCAGCACAGGCCACAGGACCCTTCTAGGAAAATGGCCCTTTCTATTAATGCTGTTTTTAACAAGTGACAGCAAAACCTGAGACCTTTTGCATCAGTTCATTTGAAATTGAACTTTGCTGCAGATAACTGTGGGAAGGCACTCTCAGTGCACAGACTGGAGACCAGTTCACTTCTCTGTGCCATTGCTGCAGCTTTTTCAGAAATAAATCACCTGTGTTACCAGTACTGATCCGGAGCCACTCCACAGATAAACTGCAAAACTGACCTGGAAGCAAGGTGGCAGCAGACTTCTGGTTTTGTTTCATTCATGAAAGCTCTCAAACACAGGAGAGAGAAATCTGTTTTTTCCCTCAAGCGTCGAGTCTTATTTCTCCTTGACTAAGATCTAGAAAAATTGTTTTTGCAGTACCAGTTATTAAATCTATAACTTAACAAAAGTGAAGAAAGGTGTGATCAGTCCTCCTCGTATCCCTAAGGATTGGAGGAAGCACTATGAGGTCAGAAAGAAAGGACAGGGTACAAAAGTACGCTTCAGACTTCATTTGATTGAAGCCCCCCTAGATTTGCAGCTGCCCTGCACTGGCAGACCTGTGTCTGCTCACATAACAAAACCTCACTGCTCCATCCACAGAACAAAGCACTCACAGCTCTCAGTTCCACACACTGAATATTTCTTTCTTGAGGTGACAGTATTGGAAAAGCAGGAGCATTCATCACCTGGGGCTGTTAACAGTTTTCAACCAGAAGTTTATTATGGGCTTTTTTCCCCCAGGACTGGCACTACTGGATGCCATACTGCAGCCTTGCTCTCATTGTCCTGTTTTCAGTTGTCTTTGCTGTTGGGCCAGGTAAGTTCTCAATCAAAGGAAATAAAGGAATTGAATCAGGTGAGCTTATTAATAGGGTTAGGAAAATACTGCCTTATATTGCATAATTTTCAGCATGAGTAAATTCATTTAACATAATCTTGCACTCATTTAAACACTGTGGGTCCAATTATTCATTGGACGTGAAATTCAATACCATCAGGTTTGAGTTTTGCTAGCAAGAAGAAAGGAGCACGCTGGAAAAATACAGCAAAAATAGAGCAAAAGCAGATGGATAAAAGTTTTTTTCTTTTAATGCTAGAGAAAAAAAAAAAAAAGGAGAAAAAGAAAAGCAAGAATTCTTTTAGATTCAGTGTTGTATAATATAACATCTTATCCCACACAGACAGCAGTGCAGAAGAGCTACTTTGAAGTAATTTTTTTCCTAGCATTTATTGCCTGCGACTCATTAAACTTTATTTTATAAAATTTATTTTATAAAAGGCTTTGTTTTATAAAGGCTAATAATGTTCTAAATATTTGCCTTCTCATATGGCAGGGTTGAATTATTTTCCTAACTGAAAACAGTTGAAATCCTGTGGCTTCAAAACATAACTGAAATGCCCAGGAAGTAAATCTGGGAAGATCACCCATTGGTAATCTAGCAGAATAACACTGGAAATTCATTTTAGCAATAATAATTGTCATTCCACTCCAAGACATCTTTCATGGAAGGATGTCAGGCTTTCTCAAGTGTCAACTACTTAATTCTTGGATGTCCCCAAAAATTTATTTCACTATTTTAGCATTTCAATAAACTGATGTCCAGCAGTTTATTAGATGCCACAAAGGTTTTCTTTCCTAAAAAAGAGCAACCTACTCAATGCCACTGCACAATTCTGGTACTCATGCCAGCCCATTATGGTAACATCCATCAGCTGACTGTGTAATAATAACACCCAATCGAAATATTGACGCCAAAGACATCAAAGGAAAAACAATTCTTGTCCTTTCAGGTGGTGCCACGGTTTCCACCAGGGTTGAAATCTTCAAGCTGTCCTGCAGACCTCCTGCCTTTGTGATCAGTGCAGTTCTCAACTGGCTGGGAGTGTTTGTGATCGGCACCACCTTCCCCTTCATCGTGGTGAGTGCTCAGCTCCACCCTGGGGCAGGAGCAGCACAGGTGACACTGCTGGGACAGGCTGCAGAGCTCTTGCCACCTGCTCTCCCACGTCCACTTTTACAAACAAAGGGCCCTGATTTGCCCAAGACACTCATTCAGACTTGTCAAAGCTCAAAATGGAAACAAAAAGCAAAAATTGAAAAAATTCTTTATCAAATTCAAAATACTTTGGGTGATGCCTTGGTGTGGCTACCTAGAATAGAGGCCAGACAGAATTAAAAGAATAAAGTAGGTATTTATTAAAGGCCTTCAAGGATACACCTTGGGCAAAGTGCAAAGCCTGGCAGAGGCTACAGCCAAGATGGGTGAAGGCCACGAGTTTCTCAGATGGATATCAGTCTGGTCTATCTTCATATCAGAGGTTAATTGTCCAATTATAGATTCAGATAATAAGTAATATTCCCATGGTTTGCTTTCCCCACCACTGATTCACCTCTGTTTATACTTTTTGGGCCTGAGGCAGATGGTGGCCGTGGCTCTCAGGCCTGAGAATTGCTTATTCTGACCAAAGTGTGAAGAGAGCTCAGTAACACTCTGCATGGAGCTCAGAGCTGTACACCAAAGCAATGCAGAATCTGAGAAATAGAAAAGCTAAAACTAAAGGCATCATGGGACCCAAATATAAAAAATGTGCCAAGAAAGTGGCTAAAGCAAAGGTATGCTCATCTTGCTCTCTTTCTCACTTTGTTCTTTCCTGCAGGAAAGACTCAAGCACTTCTGCTTCCTCATCTTTATGGTGGTACTTTTCACTTCAGGGACAATTGTCCACCTGTTCCTTCCAGAAACAAAAGGGAAATCAATCATGGAAATCACAGAAGAATTCAATAAGCTAAACTTTAAAAACAAGCATATTCCAGCAACTCCAAATCATGTCACAGAGGATTATACCTTCTGCACCAGGCTTTGACTGGCTGTAAGGGGAATTAAGTTTTTGTATAAAAGTCGGGAAAAAAAGACATTTGCCATTTTCTGTCTAACAAGTTGCTCCAAATGGACTGTCAGCTTTCCTATCTGTCACTTCCAAGGTTCCCATTTTGCCAAACCAGCTTCTTTCTCAAGCACTCCACTCTGGGCAGCTCTGAAAAGGGATAAGGACTGATATTAACAGGATAGACTTGTGTGAATCATCAGCATTTTGGCTTAATGTGCTGATGTGTAAATCTCTTCTAAACAGAGCAACTAATACACACTGAAACTACACATGTAGAATTTATAAACACTCTGCTGACCACAGAAAAAGGAAAAACTTGTGATCCTCTCTCTCTATGATTTCTGAGTATGTTTTTACAGTGTTGAAATGGGAACAGTGGAGTTCTTGGCTTGCTATCTCTGGCTAGTGTTCAATCCATAACAGATTAAAGAAAAAATTTAGTGGAATAGGAGATAAATTCTTTGTTTCTCTAGATTCAGCTGAATAACCAAACCTTGCCAGGTTCCCATGCACAGTGCCATGTTGTCCTTGTACAGTGTCTAGTTTGACAGACTTCAACCATTTCAGATTGCCTTTCAGCAGCAACAGAGCTAAAAGGACTGATGGACACAATCCAGGCACCATAAACCCCGAGCATCCACGGGCATTTTAGATGCTCTGTGCTATCCTGCCCATCACTGCTGTCATCTCAAGTCTGCAGCTCCTCCTCCAGGAGCAGAATTCCCACAGATATCTCAAGGGCTGAGAATCCCACAGCAACTGAACTGATACTTTCCCCTACCTGGCTACCTGGAACCTGTTTACCCCAGAAGAGCTGCCTCAGACTGGAACTGATTTAACCCGAAATTTATTTTGAAATACAGAGGCCCATGGGACTTTTCTTTTCTGTAGAAGGTGTCTAATATTCTGCATGTTACCCTCTAATAATGAGAGGCTCACATGGTTGTAGAAGGAAAGCAATACTGTGAGAAAGAACATGAACAAAGCTAAGGCTTACTGTGAAGCACACTCTACAATTTAAAGTCCAAACTCTAGACTTGCACAGTAAAATGAGTGGTTTTACCTCTGCTGTTTCTTTGACTGGCATATTTACTTCAACTCAAACAAGGTTATTAAAAATAAGAATTCAACTGTTCATCTTAACTGCTGCTTATTTTTAACTGCAAATAGTAACCATAATAAAAATGGCAAATTGCCTTGTAATAAAACTTCTGGCCTCCACAAATATTTATTTCCTCACATCATGATCTCCTCAGGGGGAGTTGACTAGAAAAATTATTGGTGTGCATAACCTTCCATGACTGGAGTTCTTCATTATTCCTGTCTTTAGTACTGAGTGACACTTCAGACATCTCACTAAATATAAATAGATATTAATTAGAACTATAACTCATTAGATATAAATAGAACTATATATCTATGAAACGTGAAGTGTCCTAAAGTCAGAAAACTCAATAATTTCGTAGTGTTCCATATACATGTAATCTGATTAAAAACCACCAGTCATCTGGAGACAGCTACCAATATAGATAAGAAATATCAACTTTTTGCAAAACAGAATTCTCTCTTCTCTACCACTCATTCTGGAAACACCATTCCATTACAGCAATCCCTGAAACCTTTGGAAACAAGAGCAGAGTGGTCCTGTGTAGCATTGCTGACAGACTCTCCAGTGAGTCACCTCTCTGGTCTCAGTTATTCATTAGGTGCCATTTAGGAAAGCTCTCCCCACAGGACCCTCCCCAGGGAGGCAGAGATGCCCTGTGGAACATTGCAGTGGCAGGGAAGCAGAACAGCCATGTGGAGCACAGGTCAGCCTTGGCTGTGCTCAGTGGAGCAGGAGCTGTGTCATGGGGACAGCGTGGCCAAGGATGAAACAGCAAAAGGGATGGTTCAAGTCTACATGGCAGGGCACAGGGACAAAGGGGACAGTGATTCAGGACCCCCATACACACATTATCTTCCAAAGACATCAGCTGATAGGTAAGATATGACTCAAATACCAATTGAGGCAGATATAAAAACTTTTAAAATGTGTCTGTGAGCTTTGTCAGCTGGACACAAAAGAACTATGGATCTGTGCTAAGGAAGGCTTAGCACAGCTTTGGATATGTGTGTCACACATGACTGTAAAACTGGAAAATAAATGACTAATGATGCTGTGAGACTCACTGCCCTGAGCACAAACCTGACTAAAGGATATTTGTAAGATTTCTGCCAACTATTTATTATAAGACTGCACATCTGAAAAAGGAGGCCTCAGAAGAGTCTAAGCAGTAACAGCACACAGGCAGTACAGTCACTAATCACCATAAATGCAAAAGACTTTACACAGGAAGGGAGTCATGAGAGGAAGATTCAACCTACCCAAAGCAGGAATCCTAAATTAAAGTCCTAGAGCAAAAAGTGGAAGTTCCAATATGTATAAATACACTAAGTAGAAGTGGGTAAAGTAAAACATTAGAGGATATCTGCAACAGGCTGCATTTGAAGAGTGCCCCATGCTGAAATGCACATTATTGCCTGTTTGTGTCCCCCCAATATCATCTGAGCAAGGCACATGCCAGCAGCTAACATGGAATTTTGTCCCTTTGTCAGATGCACATCATGTTGTTTCAACTTTGTATAACTTAACAGAAAAAGGAAATTAATTCTTAGCATCAAAGGGACAGTCTCATTTGTGCTCTAGCAACAACTCATCTGCTGGAGAACCTCAACTGAAGAACAAATCCCTCCATGAACTCTCAGCACAAACCAACAGCAAAGGCAAGGTCATGATGAGGCCTGGGAGAGGCAGGAGAAATGGAGTGGTGCTCTACACTACATTTCAAACATTAGCTAGAGGATCCAGGAATATGCTTTGCATATAAAATATTTTCTAATAAATATGACTGCTTGCATCAACCAAGCCCTTTATGATTTCTTCATCCTCTCCTTGAACTGAAGTGTAAATGCCAAGTGATAACTAAGCCATTTACCAACTGAATACATTCAATATTCTCTTAATTGTGAAATAACTGAAGTTAAAGCCTGAGAATTTTCTCTTAGAAGAAATAGACATCAATCCAGCTATGGAGGTTACAAAACAGCTTCAAAACAATCTTATTTTTCATTGCAGACCCGGAAATAAATACACTGATATTTTGTCTGGAAATGCCAGACAAAACTGTGCATGATGAAGCTTTTTCTCTACTAGCAAAGAAAAATCATCTACTAAATACTTGGCTGGTCAAGCCTGGTGTGCCACTGCAGAATTGTTAAGTTTTCACCCCATTTCAAAATCATGGAATAGTTCAGTTCCTTCCAATAATGATTAAGTTACGATGTGCTCCAGTTGCCATCACCTGGAGAGAGGACAGCTCTTCCCTATTTCATGTCAAAGTCCTGGAGTTCACTGTCCAAGCCCCATCTAAGATTCCTAACAGAGAACTCTAAGTTTCTCACTTGTACTAAAATCTGAGCAGGTTATGATGATGGGAATCCTGTTTGAAATTGTTTTCTCGGCCCCCTGTCCCCCTAGCAGAAGACAGAGTTAATGAAGTACACGGGCTCTGCAAGGAGCACCATCCTGTTTACTTGAGCTGGACATAACCATTGGTTGAAATATTTAATCCAACAATCCTAAACTTTGTACCACAGCTGGAATATGTGTAATTAACTCAAAAACCTCTGAAGTAAATTTTAACTTCAGTAACATGGGGCTGGTTCACTGACACTGCTGCTGTATAATGTGAGCATTTGGTTCCCTTGGCAGGCACCAGCTCGTTCATAGGAGATGGCTGCCTTCTTCTCCAACCTGGTGAGTACCTGCTCACACCAACTCAGGCCTCTGCCTTACCAAAGACTAAGATAAAATAGCACTAGAGATTCAGGTTCTTTAGATTTTAAATGCCTTTGTTACAGAAAGCATCCTTCCTTTCTGTGTTTAAACATCACAAAGAGCAATGGGGCTTGGGGCATGAAGGTCCTGTTGCATTGTCTTTTCTATGAAACACGAAATGAAATGGAATGAAATGAAATGAAATGAAATGAAATGAAATGAAATGAAATGAAAATCCAGCAACAGCTCTGGCTCTTCCACCACTGACTGTGATGCTTTACTTTGTCTTCTAAATTACTGATAACAATAATAAATATGAAGTACTGTGATTACATCCTAAATAATGAATGTAGTAATGGTACAGCAATAGGCTAAGAAATCATGACACGAACTTTTAAATAAATTACTTTCTTCGTTTCATCAAAAGATAATTAATATAATCCATCAAGAGTTTCCATAATCTTCAAAAGGGAAGAAGTGATATGTATCATCATGCATTATGGTTTGGTGTACATTGGTTGCTGTTGGTTGCAGACAGGAAAATGATTCCCTCTTCCCCCAGGCCAGGACTGACACCTTTATCCAGCCAAGCTGTTGGATATTGCAGGCACACAGTGGGAGTTGTACTGTCAGGAAAACCTTTTCAAACTCCTTTTCTTTCTTGCAAGCAGAGTGATGGATTCTCACCCTCACACCCATGTTGTTTGCTCTGGTGCTGTGGCTGATGGTCATGCTCTGGCAGCAGATTAGAGGGATTTTGAAAAATGTTTAAATTCAAAAGTGGACGAAGAGAAAGGACCAGTGTGGCTACAAAGTCTCTGGCCTTGCACCAAACTAGAGCAGTGAGAAGCTGATGGAGCATTTTATTTTTGTGTTGCAGGTTCAGTTCCGGGGACTGCTTCAAATGATCTTAGTGCTGGGAATTGGTGGTAGTTTCCCATATGGATTCCACATTTCTGTCATCAACTATCCTTCTGTGGTAAGTAACCATCTCTGAAAACACAAAGGTGAGAGCCTGAGCCGTCTGTTCTCCCACAAATCCCAAATTTACTGAGCATTCAGCTGATATGTCTAGGCCTTTTCTTTGGCTAACAGTAACATCACATGAGTAAAGAACTTTCCCTCCTTTAATGAATTGGATAGCATTTTCTGTTTTACATAAGTTCTTGCCATGTAGTGTACAAGCCTCCAAAGGAGGACACAAAATCAGTCTCAGCATGCTTGCCAGGAAGCTTCCTGATTGATACAGACTTGAAGAATTTGCAGTGTGATCTCAATGAACTTGTTTTACTAAAAAAGTCTCAAAATAAGTCTCATATTAAAACCACAGGCTTGATCTGAACTACAATAGCCAAATGTGAAGGGATCTTATACCCATTATCCAGGCAAATCTTGTTTTATTTTTCAGCACATCAGGAAGTTTATTAATGAAACCTGGATAGATCGACATGGCTCTCCCCTCCATCCTGAGACAATCATGCTGCTCTGGTCCTTCATTGTGTCTGTTTATGGGATAGGAGGATTCCTGGGAAGCCTCTGCTGTGGCTACCTGACTACAAAATACAGGAAGTAAGTGTTTCTTGTAACAGCTCAGCAGTCAGAAAGTACAGGGAAATACCAAGGTGGACAAATAAGTCCCTTCTTTTTAGTTGAAGTAGCCCTGTTGAAGACAATCGATTTGATTTCCTGGCACATCCACTGTGTTTCCAAGTAGCCTTCTGACTTATTTCTGTGCCCTCCCCAGGGAGCTGTGTTCTCTAAGGGCTGCAGTCATCATCACATCCCCAGATCACTGCCTCTGGCACTAGTGGCATAGGATCACATTCTCTTCAGGGTCCCTGATCACTCTCATAAGATCTCCAAGCTTTACAGACTCCAATAAAAGAGCTGTGTGTCTTGTGTTGTAACACATTACATGCAGTTACTCAAACATCTGGAAAACATCCTTATGTGACAAAGAAGAGTCACATTTCCATTTAAATACACTCATTTTAGGATGGTGATACTACACTAAATATTCAGATCTACTCTAGTGAAAATATGGAGAGAGGAGGAAAAAAAATTGCTTGTAATTTCACTGTAAAGATATAATCAGCACCAAAACAAAACTCCAAGAGACAAGTCTGTTCTTGGCAATCCATTTTACTGAAAGTCAGTTCCAAACGATCTTTGCCACTGGACGAAGGAAGGATTCCTCACCAGTCAGGTCTGTTCTCGGTGCCTTGTGTGTAACACCACTAATTTCATTTGCAGAGAAATTGGCAAACAGATCTTCTTGGTGTGACCCACTTAAAGATCTGCTCCACAACACACTGATCCAGGGGCCCCTCATTTGGGTCTCAACAAACCATCTTAGCCTGCCTGCAATTGTGTTCTTTACTAACAGGTAAGTGCCCCCAAGAAATTTCTTGTGGGACACTGCCTCATCCCACACGCTGAGAGTCTCCCAAGACTGGAAACAAGCTCATGCACCTCTCCCATGGGTTATTTAACACCTGGTAGCTGAATTATAGCATAAGCACAGAGTCTCTGTGACCCTTAATATAGGCAAGGGGGCTCTTGTCTAACAAGTGTGACAGTAAAACATCTGAGTGCAAAAGACTTTGAGCCTGAGACAGCAGGGTGGGAACACACCAGCCTGGATTCTCACTGAGTGACTTTTGAAATGAAATATGCCTCTAAAAACTCTGTCTGCCATCCCAGAGCACCCATTTAGCCAAGAGTGTCTTTAGTATGAACCATTCTAGAATGGGACCTGTGGACTCAGACTATACCTGGGGAACAACCTGACATATTATGAAGACTTACAGCCATTTAAAAATCTAGGTGACAAACTGAGCCAGTCCTTCAATCTTTTTCCCTACTTGTACTGTGGAAACGCTGACAAAGGGTTCCAACTGTTTAAATTCTAACCTAAGATTTTAGTAATTCAAATCTAGAAGATCATAAAATGTTAAGGAACCATTTTGACTATCCAGAATTGGAATTATTTCATCCATTCCTCAATAGAGTAGGAATGGTTGTACCATGCTTCCTGTCACAGCAGGAGTAGTCAAAAGAGTACGAGAGGTTCTCATTTCACACTAAATTCTCAAGGTCTTTTTTTTTTCCCCAGGAAAAAGTGTCAAATGTTCACCAACCTGATCATGTTGGTAGCTGCACTTTTCATGGCCCTCAGTAAAACAGCCAAATCCTTCGAGATGATTCTGGTTGGGCGCTTTCTCTATGGCATTGGTTCAGGTATGTCACCATGGCCTGCAAGGCCTGCAGGCTCCTGGCTTGCTGTCCTGGGAGTCTCTACAGCCAGCCTTGAAGAATGGTTTTCAAAGCAAATACACTGTGAACACACACATTTAGAGAGCTGGGGAATCACAGCTTGGAAATTCTCTCCAGGCCTGGATTTCTCCTGACTCTCAGCTCCATTCCCAGGCTGACAAGCTGACTACAGCTTCAGTTAGGGAGGAGTCTCCCAGGGTGATAACACGGTGACAAACAGAGTGGAATTCATCATAAAGATTAACACCTGGTGTCTTTCCCGTGGGACACATCCTGAGGTGCTGTCCCAGGGATGTTTTTCCCAATTGTCCAATGAGCTCCTGTCCTGTCCTGGCTGCACATAACACACTTTAAATCCGGGCTGTCTGTACAATAAATTGGCCTTTTTTCCCCAAAGAGCTCCGTGTGTGTTGCTGCCCTTTCTCTCTCTTTTCAGTGCAGTGACCACAATACACCAGGCACTCAATAACAGTGAAAGGTACAATCTCTTCTGCAAGAAATTGTAATCTAAATACCAGAGTGAATGGAAACAATAGAAGAGAAGATGGTCAAAAAGCCAAGCTTTTTGAAATCTTTTAACTCTTATTTCTCCTCTTTTATGTTCAAGGTTTTTCTCTCAATATACATCCTCAGTATGTAGGAGAGATTTCACCCAAGAAGTTGCGTGGATTTACCAACTCCACTGTTGCCGTTTTTCTGACCCTGGGAAAACTCACAGGACAGGTGGTTGGACTACGGTAAATTCTCCAATTTTTCTATCAGGTTACACGAAAAATAGAAATGTTTCTATAACTTCACCCTCTCACCTAGTCAGTGACTGAGAAACACTCTCCTCCTCCCCAAAACGTGCCAGAAGAAAAAATATTGATCATATTTGAGGGAAATACAGTTTTAAATATAGAAGGCAGAAAATAATTTACTCATAATCTGATTTCTTCTTATTTCCACATTCTTTCTGCTAGGAGACTTTCCCTTCAAAATTGAATATGCTTACATGAAAAGTCTTAGCAAAATGTTTTGCTCTTGTGGCCAAGCAGTGGTCAAATGAGTCTCATCAGCTGTCTAGATATTATACTGCATACCAATGGTGTGCAGAAAGATTTTCAAAAGATCAGATCATTCCTTTAAAATAAATTGTCAGAAATAAAAAGGGTTAACTCCAATGAACCCTTGAATGGAATCTGAGCAATCTTTATCACTCAGAAAAATTTCCTGAACATTCATTCCATTATTTCAGCATAATTTTGTTTCACATACACTTTCCAGGGAGATTTTAGGAAGCGAAGCTTTGTGGCCATGGTTGTTAGCATCTAGTGGACTTTCAGCATTGGTTCAACTGGTTACCCTCCCATTTTTCCCTGATTCACCATCCTACCTCCTGATACAGAAGGGTAATGAGGAAGCCTGCAGGAAAGGTAGAGTGTCTGCTTTCCTCACTTACTTCCCTTCACCTGCTGTGTCACAGTGAGAGCCTCTGCAGAAGATGAGGCAGGGCAGAGCTGTGCTGCTCAGTGCAGTGCCATGGAGCACAGGAGTTTCACACACAGCAGCTGAGGCACCCATGGCAATGTCTGTGTTCAGCTGGGCCTCACTCAGCCTCGTTCAGCCCATGAAGTCAAAAAACACAGATGTGTATCAGCATGTCTAACATTTCCCACCTTGGTGGGCACTGCTTTATTTCTTTAAAGGAAATGGTTCAGGCAGCTGTCCTTTGTTGTATTATTAAATAAGAAGTGCTCAAATGTTTACTTTGTTTACAGTTAAGTAAACTCCACATTAGAAAGCTGTGCTGTACTCACAAGCAGACAGACAAAATCCCTCAGATTGCTCAGCAGACAAAATCCCTCAGATTGCTCAGACAGACAAAATCCCGCAGATTGCTCAGCAGACAAAATCCCTCAGATTGCTCAGCAGACAAAATCCCTCAGATTGCTCAGACAGACAAAATCCCGCAGATTGCTCACTGCCCCTGCAGCAACCAGACGGCAGAAGCAGCACCAGCACCTACTGCAATGGACAGGCAGCCTAAAGAGTTTAATGTAACCACTCCTGATGGAGCCATCCCGGTAGGAGAATTCACTTCCCTCTTTCTCCCTTACAGCCATCAGGAAGCTCTGGGGGGAAGGAGACCACCAGGCAGAAATTGATGACATTATGAAGGAGAAGGGTGCAATGGCGAGCACGAAAACCTTGCGTGTCCTTGAAGTAATAAAGGAGCGATCTTTGCGCTGGCAGCTTTACATTCTGATGACCGTCATGACCACGCTGCAGCTCTGTGGCATCAATGCAGTTGAGTGATCTCTCTATCCCCAGAACAAGAGCAGGCAGCATTACAAACCTCTCAAAGGCAATGCTATTAAACCAGCTTAGAATTGTATCTCAAATACAACGGTTTTTTTCACAGGTTAATTTCCTCTTTGCATTTTTCAGATATACTTCTATTCTTTTGAAGTATTCCACACAGCCAAGTTTGAAGAATACCTTATCCCATACGTGTCCCTGGGAGTTGGGTTGTGTGAGTGCTTATCCTCTATACTATGTGTAAGTCTTTTCAGATTTGATTTGAAGGAAAAAATTAATGTGACCAACAATTGTGCTTTTCCTTTCTTATAACTGGGCTCAGGGAAATTTTACATAACCTAAGCCTCATATTCCTGCTTTGCAAAACCACAGGCAAAGAAGTTTTTTTTTCCAAATTATTTGAATGAGTGTGTGTCTTTAGACGAATTTTTTTCTGCAAAATAATAATTTTCTGATGTTCTGGATTGGATGTGTGTACGTAGTGTGGACAATTTGATATATGCCAGCGTGCAAGAGAGGGAACTGTCTAATAACACCTTAGGATTGACTCACAAACACAGCTTAATTAATAATGAATTAGTTTTGAAGAAAATAATCAAATTAATTAGGAACTAAGAGACTGTCAAATAACATCTTAGGATTGACTAACAAACACAGCTTAATTAATAATGAATTAGTTTTGAAGAAAATAATCAAATTAATTAGGAACTAAAAGACTGTCAAATCTCTTTAGAAGACATAGATTTATGGCTATTATTTAGACAAATCTTCTGCACAGAACACATGGAGAGAGGAGGAATTATTTCCTTTGAGAGCTGGGGTTTGTGATCCATGTTTTCTGCTTTCCAGAGCACCCTTATAGACCGCTTTGGGAGGAAGGTGCTGCTCTGGGGTGGATACTTGCTGATGTGTTCTGTGCTGGCACTGCTCACCATGACCCTGTCACTGCAGGTAAAGAGGCAGCACCTTCTGGCCACTTCCCCAGCCCACCTTTCTGCTCCTAACTCCCAGGAGATGTATAAAAACTTCAGCCAGTGGCAGGAAATACAGAGCTCTGCTGCTCTGTTGTGTGTCTAATGGTTTGATATCACTGGTTTCTCACTTTTAGCATCGGTTTTTCTGGATGCATTACTTCAGTGTCATCTTGATCTTTCTGTTCGTTGTCTTCTATGGAATTGGACCATGTGAGTACATCAGTGGTTATACTGGGAGGAAATTTGGTTTTGTATTGGCTGGCAACACAACTGACAGAGGAAGAACAGGCTAGTGCCTTGCTAAAAACTTCTGGAAATTAAGGAGGGAAGGGCAGACACATACAACTGGGAGACAGGAAAAGGATATAGACACCTCAAATTTTATTGCTGATCACATGATCTAAATAATTTAAAACAGTATCATGTTCTCCAGAGGGTGTGAGACAGAAATTTCAAAGCAATTTCGAAATTAATCAGCTAAACACAGAATTCTAGGTATTGCCAGGTATGTTATAATAATCATCTTCAGTAACTTATCAAGTTAAGCTTATGCCTACCAGCATGCTCCAGGTGCCAAAAAGGAGGCTGGTTTTATAAACCACTGCACCAGTAACAACTACCAGAAACTGCACAGATCCACTGATACCAGAAAAAGGATTCCAGTACATACAAGGGGAACCTAAATTAAGTGCTGGATTCCATTTCTGGAATCAAGGTCTTCCACCCTCACAGCAGAGACTCCCTATCCTGCCTGTCTGTCATCTCTGCCACTGCTTTTGGGAGGAGCTTTAGCAGAAGCAAGGAAACAAATAAACCTGCTGTGTGTTTGGCTTTGCTTTTCCAGCTGGGGCCACCATATCTGTGATGGTTGAAATCTTCAGCCAGTCATACAGACCATCAGCCTTTCTGATTGTTGGCTGCATCAACTGGATGGGACTGTTCGTACTTGGGATGATTTTTCCAGTAATTGTTGTAAGTGATTTTCACATGATCCCTCTTTCCAGGCTAATCTAGTTCTGAATGCTGGCAAGGGGCAAAGTAATATCAATAAATTGCAATGACATGCAAAGCTTAGCACTCTGTTCAAACACCAAACGTGCTCAGAAATTCCCCAGGCTTGTCAAGGAGCAGCAATAGGACTCAGGTCAAATGTGGCCCGGGGGAACTCCTGGTTTGATACCTGTCCTGGGTTGTGTATTGAGCACACATTTGAATTCGAACTTCTAAGACACAGGCTTGCACTAAAGGGCAAGGAAATAGAAATTAGTTTCTTATTTTCCTTACATTGTCCTGCATTTCTGCTTGCAGGATAACCTTGGACCCTTCTGCTTCCTTATCTTTTTGGGAATCCTTGCTTTATCAGCAATTTTCATCTACCTGTATCTTCCTGAGACCAAGGGAAAGTCAATCATGGAAATAAAAGCAGAATTCAACAAGCTGAACTTTGGGAAAAAAGAAACCTCTGTCACTGAAAATAACTTTCCTAAGGAACAGTTGTCTTGCACCAAGCTCTGAATGTTCAGAGAAGAAATTTGCATCTCTTGGAAAAGACAGGAAATAATGTTGCAATAGAACTGAAAAGGAAACATTAAAAACAGACTGCAAGCTCTTCTGTCTCATTTATTTTTCTTTTTTAATACAGATATGAAACTCACTATTCTAGAATTACACTAAGTACCTCGTAAGCTGGCAAATAGCTCAGAGAAGAGTATCAGAAATACAAAAGAACAACTGAAATATTTTAAGAAGATGAACCAAGGTAAAGAATTATTAAGAATGCTCAATGACCAAGAGTCATGAGGCTGGGGAAGCAGAGAAGTCTGAAGTATTTGGCTGACAGGCATGCAGAGGAAAAGCTAAATACATGGTTTAGGGTGATCCAAACAGATACAGACTAAAAACTTAACACCTCAGATTCAGAAAACAGTTTCCAGTATGACAACAGAAAAGAGGATTGAAAGTGAAATTTGCTGCACAACAGTGCTGGAGAGGTAATGGAAATTTCAGTGGAAAACATCCTAGTAACTCTAGGCAGAGAGAAGGACCTGCCAAACTGAGATATTCTTGCATGCAAAAGAAGTAAAGTGGCTGCTATAAAATAAAGCAGAGTCTGGAGAGCATCTCTGGTGTCTAAGGAACTGATTTTCAACCTGGTGCATCAGCTTCTGGGAATTACATCAGATGTTTTCACAGAAGAAAGAGTTTGTTTTGGAAATGTTTTTCTTGTTATGTAAGCAAGCTGGGAATAACGACTGATTATTGTACCCAGCAGTAAAAATAGGTTGTGGAGTTCATTGGAAATAGTCTAACTTTTTCCAAGTGACCAATAACAAGTATAGGATGACTTATAACTAAACACATTGGATCATGCCACCTGCTTTTCTCTAACCACTGAAGAAAAAAATGAATCAATATCTCAAACTACAGGTCCTCTCCTTACAGATGGAGGTGTCACTTGGGTTTGTTTTTAACACTTTGGCTTAGGAAACATACCCTGAAAAGGCTTTTTGTAAACCAGATTTTATTTCTGGGTTTTTTTGGGTTTTCATTATTTTCAGAATTCATACAGGAAACACAATCCACAAACGTGGGCTGTAAATGAACACTGACACAGTAATTTCATCTCCTGACATTTTATTTGCTGACTTTTTACAGCAAGGGTGCTACAGTGAAGGAACTAACTCAAAATCAACATACACCACACAATCATAGGATGGATTGGGCTGGAAGGGGCCCTAAAGATCATCCAGTTCCACCCCCCTGCCATGGGCAGGGATGTCTCCATTTAGGTCAGGTTGCTCAGGGCCCAGTCAACCTGACCTTGAACACAGTCAGCTTCAGCAGGTTCATACAGAAGTTTTCACCATTATAAAGTATTTCCTTCAATGACACCATTCAATACAAGCATTTAGTGCAAGCTAGAGAAAGCTCTCCCTCTTTCCTGCTGCCTGGAGAAATTGGAGTGAATAGAAAAGCTCATAACTCAGAAACTACTGGGCATAAAGATACTTTCAACATGGAGAGGTCACCAAACCATTTATTTTATTCCCACCAGCATTTTCAATCTGCTTTCCCCACACATCTGACTGTGAACAGCCCCTAAAAAATGCCATATGATCCCTCTAAATCACTTCTCTCATGTAAGGCTGTTCTAGGCAGCTGTGAGAACTGATCCCAGCCTTGCCACACTCTCCCTTCACTCTGGATAAAAGCTGCTCATGTCAGAAAGCCTGTGGATTTCCAGGAGTTATGACTGTTATGGAACTATTTGCACAACAAAGGAGAAAGTTGAAAACAAACCTTCTGTGAGCATGTAGAGTCCAGTGCTCACCACAGTGGAAAATCAAGACCCTGATTTTAAGGCATCTTTGTCATGACTTAGTCATGGTTCAGGAAAGGTCTGCACAACATGTGTCACTGGGGGTTTTTTGTTATGCTCTATTCCACAGAGAGAGTTTCAAAACTCACAGTTGAATCATTCATCCAATTTTAAAAAATAATTACTAGATTTGCATAAAGAGGTGCATTACAACCTACACTCAGTCTTTAAAACACTTGCTTTTCCACTGGTTTCATGATGTGGCTGTATCCAAATACGAGGTGTCATTTTGGATACTTTGGTTTCCAGAGTGCAAAAGCTGGGCTCCCTCCCAGGCCAGTGCATTGGCTGTCTGTGTTAGCAGCTGCAGATGGCACATTCAGCCTCTCCTGAGACACTCCCACCCCTCTCAGTGCACCTGCTCAAGGTATCACTGACTATTTAGAGGCTCCTGATGTGCTTACTAGCACAGAGGGCTGGGCCAGCTTGTGGGTGAGTTAGAAATAAAGCTGAGAACAAGGTGAGCTGAAAAAAGACCTGCTTGGGATCCAAAGATGCCTAAATTCATTGTTAACACAAATATAAGCAAGGATAAAGTTCCAGAATCTTTTGCAGGGGAGCTCACCCAACAATTATCAAAAGCATTGGACAAACCAGCACAGGTAAGTCCATTTGCTGAAATGTTTTCCTTCTTTAGTCAGCTGTGCCTATGCAATGAGCTGTTTCTGAGTGATAGCCTTGATAAACTGATATAGCTAATGACTCACCAGTATTTGCAGTCTTTTCTCTGGGAGAATATCAAATACTTGCTCACTGTAACACAGTTTTATTGAGGTCCCAAAAGCCTGGAGTAGTAGGATGATATTGCATGTAGTTATCAGTGTATGTGAAAACACTGGGTATATGTGGGTACTTGTCCACAGTACCTGTGAATACCTCTTGAGGATCTGTCTGATTGAAAATCAAACCTCACCCTCCACTTCCTTGCTGAGTCCTGTTGAATAAGTGCCTGTTATTTGCCACCAAATTGCCTGTAGCCTAGTGCTTGCAGTTGAAGTAAAAAATTATTTATTCAGCTTGCTTGGACATCTGGCAAAAATATCTGTGTGGCATCCTGCTATTTGTAGTCAAAATACCAGAGTAAAAGCTGTCTGCTGGTTCACTACCAGACTGGAGGGGGTTTACCTGCCAAAACACATGGCAGTATGCTACTGAGGTGAAGTCCTGAAATACTGGTATTGAGGGTCTTACAAGGATTTATAAAGCTATTATTTTCTTAATTCTGTCTGGTCACTAGTCACTGTATCAGTTGCTTACTGAAGATTGTTGAATATGAAAAACCAAAAGAAAGCTTCTCTTCAGAGCTTAAACTTCATAAGAGGAGCTATAGCTCAGTTGCTGTAGCAGCAGTAACTTCAGTGAATTGGCTATGGATTTGTAGCTCTTTGTTTAAGCACCCTTTCTGCATATTGAGGAGCCCACATTCAGAAAATGTTTATTTTTTATTTTTTATTTTAGAAGCAATGCTTGGAAGCTGTAGAAAGAATGAAGTTTTGGTGCCTACAGAAAGGGCTCTGAGGGCTCCCCAGCAAACCTTTCTCTATGCACTGGGACATCTGAATACATTGAATTCTTATGTAAAATTGATGTGTTCTATCCCTCTTTTTAAAAAGCCAATTTTTATCAGTCTAGCAAACAAGTCCTTGCTGTTGGGGGGGCAAGGGGTGTGTCTTGCATAACAGCTTCTGAATATAAAGCTAGAGGGCTGGGATGCAGCTGGAACAGGTTTGTGCAGCTGTGTGGAAGGGATATGTAATGAGACTTAGAAATATACAGGGAACAACAAAGAGATTTTTCTGGAGAGGACATACAAGCTCTTCGTGCAAAGGAGGCAATAGGAAAGGGAGAGTCTCTTAGTTATGACACAAAAAGAAGGAAAGGATTAGGGCAGGCTGGAATGCAGAGCTTTCCTCTCACAGGAAACTCTACCATTTGGGAAAAATACGGATTTTTAATAAAACAGGGTTTCTTCCTACTGGAAAAAACTGTTCCAAATATTTTCAAACTGCTCTAAGAAGAAAATAATGTTGATTAATGCCTCAACTTGATTTTTCTTTTAATAGTGATAACCTGCTTCCTGGGTAGATGTTAAAGGCATGGATGTACCTACATTTGGCATAAAGTCAAGAGCACATGGTGTCCAGACAGGGGAGAACAGGGCCAAGCAAGTGGTACCTCAGCAGGATCTCCTTGGCTTGTGCTGTACTGCTGTGGTCTGATGCACCTCACACCCAAACAAACTGCAAATGATGGCCAAGACTAATTACCCAGACAACTCCTGGTACTCAGGCTAGCTTGTTTTACCAAGAGGGTTAATTGCTGCCGAGTTCCAACGAGGCACTGCTAATAAACGTGGGTAAGAACAGCACAGAAGGCAGATGATTGCCAGAGGAACTGATCCCTAGATTCCCCAGTGTGTGGATCTGACACTGTGTATTAGCAGCAGGGAAAATCGCGGGCTGGTCATTAATATTAACATAGATACTTTCTTCTGCTTTTCCTGATATCAAGAACAAAAGCAGGATTAGGCTGTATTTTGTTTAATGAGGGGGATGTTGGTTTAGGCCTCTGCTGTGTCAGTTCACATTTACCTCAGCAGAGGAGACTGCAGCAGGAGCCAGTGAGGTGCAAAATCTCTCTGGAACGCAATGTGGCAGCAGTGCCATTGCACACCCCCCTGCCCCTGAGCTTCCCACACAGGCAGGGAGAGCCTGGTGGCTCAGAGGAGGTGCTGGAGAGATCACAGGTCACTGAGCTCCTGGAGCACCTGGACTAGGAAGCCCAAAAACTATGGAGTCTTTGTACTGGCCTTGGACACAGCAGTGAATGTAAATCTAGACAGTAAGATGTCAACAAATGAAAGACTTGCATATGAAAAACATGCACTTATTTTCACTGCAGTTTAGGTACATAAATGCCTTCATGGATTTTCAAAACTTCTCTTAGTACAGCACAGAAAATAACATTCATTTTCTTCTTCCAACTGTATCTAGCAATACAGGTCTCTCCTGATCAGGTGATGTCCTTTGGAGGCTCCACAGACCCTTGTGCTATGTGCTTTCTCTATGGCATTGGAAAGACAGGGGAGCAGGAGAATAAGATCTACTCCAAATTGCTTTGTGACCTGCTAAACAAACAGCTGAAAATACCATCTGACAGGTGTGCTCATATGGCAACCTGTCTGACATGACTT